CTGGGGACTATTTTCAGATGCTGCATGCGTACGGCAGCAAAGTCACTTAATTATTACGCCAATGTGAGTAGAGTTTTTTTCTAGCCATATCAACCAAGAAAACAGCTTTAATTAGGAAAATTATCAAAACAATTTTTTAAAATTATTTGAGCGAGATGCTACTGGTCTAATCCGATTCAATGATTTATGCTAAGCTAAGCTAAAAGCGCTCCCACCAGAATCGGAAATGGTAGGAGAGTTATAAAATTACTCCTCATTGTAAAAAATTGCAGGGTAGCGCAGTGGGTAGCACATTCGTCTCTTCATGTTGCAAGTTCGAGCCTCGGCTGGGTTCTCCCTCTGTTGGCGTGGGTTTCCTCCAGGGGACTTTCCCCACAAGCCCAAAGACATGTGTTTCCCAGTGATGGGTTGCAGCTGGAAGGGCATCCGCTGTGTAAAACATATGCTGGCTAAGTTGGCGGTACATTCCGCTGTGGTGACCCCAGATTAATAAAGGGACAATGCCGAAAATAAATGAATAAATGAATGTAAAAAATTGGATATATTGCAACATATTAACATATTGTGAGCAATATTCAGGTCAATAAAAAGAGTGTGCCTATTTGCTCGTGAATATTCTGCAATAGACTGATATCCACAGACCATTCACTGGTAAAGATGAATGTATGCAGGTTTAGTACTTTATAAATAGAAAGGCCTAAACCTTATGTGCTTTATACCAAATACAGCTTCGTCAGCAGCAAGGCAGTGCAATTAATAATAAAGCTGCAGTCTTCCTCAGCTGATATTACCAAAGGTTTTGCTATTATACCCACAATTTCTGGCCAGCTTCAGCGATGACTTTGCTCTGATAATGGGCTGTTGGCCATGAATAGATTCATTAATGAAAAGTGGTCATTTGTTAAGCTGTACTAGAAGCTGTGAGGATTAGAGGCTGAAAGCTGCTTGCACTAAACAGCTTTCAGAACATTAAGTTAAAATAAGAATTATATGCAATAATGTTCAGCTGGGGGTTTTGGACTTGCAAACACGCACTGTAAAGTACAAGTCCTAAAGACTGTAAAAATAAAGATTGTAATAAAATGTTTTTGGTGCAAACCAGTATAAGAACCATTTTGTTTATTCAAAAAACTTTCAGTTAACAATAATTAAAAGTTTTTTTTTTTTTTTTTAATGTGGCACACAAAATAGAACAGATATTTTGAAGTCATCATGTAATCAGTTGAATTGTACAGGATTTCTGAGAGACATTTGCATTGTGTCCTTTAACAATGTGGCTGAAAACAAAGCCAATTGCCATGGTTTATTCAAAGTTAGTCAAAGTTATGCACGGATTATCAGTGAATGAAGCACTATTTTCTTTCCATGTTCAAAAGAACAGTATCATCACTTCACATCTTAACATGCACATAAAAAAGTAGATGAAGACATTATGACATTAAATCACCTAATCAATGAGGAAAGCTGTGTTTAAAATGAGCATTAATTAGGATTGCCCTTTATCAGAACTGTGATTGGTTGCTTTACATTGGTCAGACGGCCTCTTTTGTTGATCCTTGGCCAATGAACGCAGTAAGTTTGAATTTGTCTGAAGATCTGTTTATGTGAGGCTCTGTTTTACCCAGTTGTCCAATGTGGAGGAGCGGCGGGACCAACACTCACATTCTTCTAGTACAACAAACAATGGGGAAGTCTAAGCATAAATATTGCTGGTTTTTGAGTTTTCATGTTTTCACCAGACGACATGTCCAGATAAAAACAATGGACACACGTCCTTTTACCATTTTTGATTTCATTTAGCCACTTTTCAGATCTGGCAGGAGCACTTTTAGCTTAGCATAAATCATTGAATTGGATTAGACCATTAGCATATTTCTTAAAAAATGTAAAAAAAATAAAAAATAAAAAAAAAGATAATTTTGATAATTTTGATAATTTTTATGTTTAAAGCTTGATTCTTCTGTAGTTACATTGTGTACTAAGAAGACCAACAAAAATAGTATTACACAGCACTGTTACCTAGTTTTCTAGCTGGGGTGGGACTTTTTTTCAGATCCTGTCAGATGACGTCCAAATTACAGCAAAGAACACAAGGCCTTAGTGTACACATTTAATGATCTGAGGAAACACGTTTGACCATTTTTAATTCCATTCAGCTGATTTCCGGATCTGGCAGGAGCACTTTTAGCTTAGCTTAGCATAAAGCATTGAGTCGGATTAGACCATTAGCATATTTCTCAAACTATTTGAAAAAGACTTTTGATAATTTTCCTGTTTAACACTTGACTCTTCTGTAATTAAACTGTCTACTAAGACCAACAGAAAACAATATTACACAGCACTGTAACCTGGTTTTCTAGCTGGGGACTATTTTCGGTTGCTATCAGATGACGTGCAAATTACAACAAAGGACACACGACCTTAGTGTACACATTTAAAAATCTAAGGAACTTTTTTCCTCTGTAAAGAAACTTTAAAGTAATGAAGTATAATGGCGAAATTCCATGAATATTAAAGGTTCTTAATGGAGCCAATGAAGAACCTTTATGTTATAAACAGTTTAACATTTTCTAACCTGAACTCGGTTGTTGGCAACCTCTTCTGTTTCTCTGTGAGAAGATGGCACAGATAGTAGACTGGGAAAAAGAGGACGTTCCAGATGCTACAGAACCAGATGATGAAGAACGGTGTTGGATGTCTTATCAGAGTCTCTTTAGCGCTATGAGTTCCCCAGGCCCAGGAAACGGCCAGACAAGACCCCAAAATGAGCCCACACATCACCCGTCGTACAGCTCGAAATGGACATCGAGCGCAGCAGCGTTTAGATGGTTTTTCGGCATCAGATTCGTCCTGAACTAAAGCCTGTTCCAGGGGATCCTTCTCGCTTGCTAAGACAAAGAAATGCAAGACATTTAAAGAAACTTTTCTGCTTCAATACAATTTACAAATAAGCAATATTTAAATCTTTACTTGGTGTGGGCAGGTGAAGTGCGACAGGTACCGGTCCAGAGGAAGGAGAGATCTTGGCTGAAAGTTTGTTCATTGCTTGTTGTGGTGTCTTAAAAACACCCCAAACCTTCAGGTCAGGGTTTTAAGCCTCTCTCGATGAGCTCTTCACTCATGTCAGTAATATGCTTTAAGTAAACACACACACACACTAAGAGCAGATTACTACAGACCCACCTGTAATTAAAAAGCTATGGTTTAAAAGCTTATTGACACGTAAAACACTCCAGTAGCCACTTGGGCAGGTTGAATTGTCCGCAGTAGGAGTCAACATTGAAGTGTGTGTGACTTTAACTTGCCAACTTTACTAAAATGAATCATTGTTTCACTCAAAAAACAGAACAAAACATGGTTACCACATCCATTATGATTTTGCTAAACCATAGTTTAACAATGTTTTTGTAGTAAAATTGTGGTCAAAAACACTGTTATTTATCTATTTGTTCAATTTCATATGGGAAATTGAATGTACTATAAATACTTGTTTAAACTATGGGTAATGTAGGAAATACTTTTTTGTTGTTGCTTGTAATGGTAAATTGTTGTAATAGAAAGAGATTGAAGCACCAAACTGTAAACAAGAAATTGCCAAAAATTGAATTCGGGTGTAAAAAATCTTAACAAAACATTGCAATTGCACAAATAAACTCACAGAACACATTCAATGCATTTCAAAATACAGGTATTACATCCATAACATATACGATATAATATATATATAGCCTTAAGCAACATGACAAGACTAGAGTGCTGTTTTCAGAACATTCATTCATTAATTTTCCTTCGTCTTAGTCCCTTTATTCACCCGGGGTCACCACAGCGGAATAATCCGCCAACTTATCCAGCATATGTTTTACAGAGCGGATGCCCTTCGAGCTGCAACCCATAACAGGGAAACATCAATACACACTCATTCACACACATACACTACGGCCAGTTTATTCACTTCACCTATACCGCATGTCTTTGGGTTGTGGGGGAAACCGGAGCACCCAAAGAACATGCAAACTCCACATAGAAATGCCAGCTGACCCAGGGGTGAGGTGACAGTTCTAACCACTGATCCACCGTGTCGCCGTTTTCAGAACAATGAATACAGCATAAGGGTCCGACTCCAAACGTAATTAATTAATCCAAAGTAATTAATATTAAGTGACTTAGATTTTACACACAATATGATCAATGTTGATCCTTTTACCTTGAAAATAGTCCCATGCTAACCACGACCATAGCTCCGCATTTGCTGATCCAGCGGTGTTTGCATACCTACTGATTCAATGGTGTATTTGAACAAATCGAACGAGTCATTCATGTGTACGCTTGCTTCATTCTGAATAAACTGTCTGAATGAATCAGTTAAATGAAAGACTCACTCATGGAAAAGCATCATAGCATTTTCCAAACATTTAATATTTTTATATTAAAAACTGATTTATGTTCATCTCACTTATTCAGATTAATGCTACATTTGAATTTATTAAATTGTCCGTAAAAAACGTCTAAATGACACTTCAATATGACAGATCATACAGGCTACATTAAAAGCTTCCACTTTTTATGAAGGCAAAAATGCATTGGAAATAAAAACTTTAAATGTCTGTCAATTTAAAAATTCAATTTCTGTCATTGAAATACAAATTTCATTTCAAAACTTATCTTTTGTATGCATTTTTCAATTGTCCAGAGAACATGCTGGATAGTAACATTGAAAAAGCATAACCTGAAGTTAACATCAAGCCCCGTCTATGATCATAAAATACATAAATGTATAAAGGCAAATATAAATTTAAAATTCCCATAGTTAACACAACAATGGCATGAGTTAATCCATAATCCAGATTTTGGCAAAAAAAAGTTATAAAGACTTTAATTATTGAGTTATTATATGTTTTTAATTGTTACATGTTTTTATCAACATTTCAAAAGTTAATGAAGTATACATAAACTATATTCTATAATTCATAGCAATCAACATAAACAGACGTCAGTAAAGGTTTTAGAGGTATTTCATTTGTTTTATTGATTCATGAGTCATAAAACTCCACACATAACAAACCAAACATTATACATTACAAGTCCAATGAGTAACAGTGATTTACCGAAGCTGATGTAAATGGCTCTAAACACTAGGCAAGACAAGTTAACACAAGCAAAAACATAATGTGGTGATCAGACTCCATACATATTAAAATGCATCACTCAAGACTGGCTATGGGTAAAGGATGATGAGCATTAGGGAGCACTTTCACAAAGAAGAGGTATATGGTAAAATACCTGCACTGAGTACCTCAAGGCAAATATTGACCTCATACAAATGTATGCTTTAAACCACCATCTTATCATCATCATCATCATCATCATCATCAATATGACCTAGCAGCTTTGCTAAGTGATACTGATGTGTTTTCCTGGTTGTGAGGTACTCGTGCCCTTCTCTGAGATGCCTTCTTTGCTTAATGGGGAGCTTTTTCTTCTGCCGTCTCGCTGTGAAAGTGCTGAAGGAATGTATTTGAGGATAACATCTGCCCTGTGGAATCTGATATGGCCGTTCAGTCTGTTATAATCAAAGAGGAAGACACAAAGATAGGGAGTGAGACGTTTCATGGCGATAAACATTTGGATATGGATTGTTTGGTTAATGTGAATATGTAATAATGATAGACAGTATATAATAATAGTAACAACATTGTAAAAAATTTCAAAAGTATTTTAGTTGTTCATGTTAAATGTACTTTTCGAAGTTACATCTTAACTTACATCAGTCAAATTGACTAAAAATATTAAGTTAAACTTTAAATAATTCGTTATTTTTTTCATAACTTATTAACATATTAAATACAATATAGATATACATTTATAATTAAATAATTATACATAGTAAAAGTAACATGAATACATTTGCTGTCATGACTTTTGTCATAGTTTTAAAGTGTACTGTAGCTCTCTGGTTGTCTGATTAAATTAAGCAATGCAAACTTTTTTTGTATTGCGGGTTGTTTTTAAATATGCAATTTAGCCATCATTTATTTGAAGATGTGCTAATCTGCATACATTTTCAGCACAAATATTGGAACATTTTTTCTCAAGAGTTAGTTTAGAGTTTTACCGTTTTTTTCAGAGGGTATTATCACTCCATAGTTTAGAAAATACTGCAAACAGCCACATTAATCCCAACTTTTCAGCACATTAAAATGTTAAACTAAACAGATTCAAGTAATCTTGACTTACAATATATGTACAGTATTTACAATTTTTGAGTAGTCGTGTGGCAAAAATGTTAAGCATGGTGATGAGGGAACTGAGGAATTCAAACTTAAGCATAATCAGAAATAAGCGTAACAAACCTTGAGAGCTTTTTTCAATTGTTTGATGTAAAAAAATGTATAAATATACGTAAAATATCTAAATAAATTCATGTTAATAAATGTAATAATATTTATATGATTATATAATAAATTATATTATAAAATATGTATATAACAAAAATATTTATATAATAATAAAAAATAATAATAATAGTTATTATTACTATTATTAGATATTATTTTATTATTATTATTATTATTATTATTATTATTATTACATTAAACCATGGTTAAATATAACTTGCTAAAAAGTGTTATTTCGTTTTTTTTTTTGCAGTACAAGGATGCTAAATGTTTTATAAGATCAGTTGTTTATGCTGCATGTGTATTGCATGTTTTAAATGCTGAGAAAGTAATAACTGTATGTTTAAAGACGTGTATGGACTGTCTAAGGTGATTGTTGTTATATGCCTAATTGATTAATTGATGCCTGTTTGATAAAAAATGCAGAATACAATACCTTACATTATCAGGCAAATAATGAAACAACAAATCTCTGTAAAAATCTTCAGAGAAGCGAAATTTTAGGAAAACACCGAACTAGAGCTGCGCGATTAATTGAAAATTAACTGAGTTTTTCAGGACGATTTTTTAAATTGCTTTCCCTATGTGTACCGTGACTCGGCTCTGTTAAAGGCTGTGGCTGATTTCTACTTCTGTGGCCACATCTGATCACTGGACAAGTAGGATGATAGCTTTGCACTACAGTGACGATGATTGGAAGCTGTGCCAGAGATGCCTTTAGGCGGCATATACATTTAAAAAATAAATAAATAAATATATAAAATAATCATTCATTAATCGTAAATGAGTTAAAATGTTCAATTAACTAAGATTTTGATTTTAGGCCAAATCGGCCAGCCCTTCACAAAAAAATATATATGTAAAAAGGTATGACAACAAATGTTTTCATGCTACTTTAACTTATTTCAATAGGGTTTATTGTAATAGTTTTGTCAGTTTGACTAATGTAAATTGAGATGACTAGAAAAGTTCCTTTGATTCAATAAAAAAATTATGCAGCAAGATTTTGCAAAACGTAATGTAATTGGAAAAAACAAACACAAATTGAAGTGTGAGAAATGAAGCATTTAATGATGTTCTTAAGATATTTTATGCATGTTAGACTGTAAAAAACACTTCTTAAAAAGCTAGAAATCTCAAAACTGACAGTGGCATGAAAAAAGCATAAAATTTGCCTGTAGAGTCTTGCATTAAGACCTTTTCATGGGTAATAAAATACGCTGGAAAAAAGAGAAAGTAATTGTTTACCTTTGGGTTTGGGGTGCATGAGGGTCAGAGGCAGCTCTACTGTCACATCACTGTGAGGAAAAAACAATAGGTTAGACAAAAGGTCATTTTTGTTTTCTCATTTTCCTTTTATTCTGTTTCCTCCTTTTAATTTACCTTGCTGTCAGGCCTCCAAGCAGACTACAAAAGAGAGGAGAATCGTGAAAGTATGATACAATTAGTACATAACTATGTATGTTAATAACAACGTTACAAACAACAAACAACATCACCTTCTCTTTTGTACTTTCTTATTACTCAATTCTTTTTAATTCGTATAGTTTAAAAATCCTTACCCTCCGCCTGATACCATGAGGTTAACCTTGATCTTGTAGGACACCAGGATTCCCAACATCTCCTTATCCATACCTGTTCTTATTCTAAGGGAAAAGTGAGAAATGAGCAGGTTATTATCTTTTGAATTCCATGTAACTAACTAATCTGCACATCTAATCAAACATCTACAAACCCATAACAGATATGTGTATAAACATTCAAAGTAATTAGTTAAAGCGAGTATTACCATTAGTATTAAGTTTGTATAAATAAAATTGTTATTTTTTTACAGCTTGAATATGAAGTTAACATAATTTCTATGGTGTGAAATAGGTTTTTGCATTTGGAAATTTTACAAGTCACCAGTTGAGTTACTATTACTATTATTACTACAGTTACTATTATTGAGTTTTACCACCATAGTTGCATCAAGCACAGTTAGGTAACTAGATAAAAGCACTGCATAATATCATTGCACTTGCCATATTAATGGTACAGCAGCTAATTTCCTTGATTATTACGATGAGAGTTTATGATAATGAGAGTATCGTTCCTAGTTATATGCTGCTAGAAAATATAATTTTCCATCTGTCTTAGTGCACAATGTAACTACAGAAGAGTCAAGCCTAAAATAAGAAAATTATTCAAACTCATTTTTACATTTTTGAGTGAGATGCTAATGGTCTAATCCGATTCAATGATCTATGCTAAGATAAGCTAAAAGTGCTCCCGCCAGATCTGGAGATTAGTCAAACTTTAGGGCGTTTATTTCCAAAAAAAGTTTTGTGTTCCGTTAAAACAGAACCAAACACTCACATAGTGGTTGAGGCCAGATTGGTGTCTTCATCTTTAAGCCTGCCGTCCAGCGCCAGGCCACGTTTCTCCTTGTTGTTTGCCAGTAAAGGAGTAATATCAAGGGACTTTTCAAAAGACGAATTGGCTTCTACAGTTTCTCTGTAAAGAACAATTAAATCAAATAATTTAGACGGATTTTATGGCTGACAAACATCACTATCAAATAGAACAACACTCACCCGAACTCTTCAGTCAGCACATTTTTGGTGTATTTGTCAGCTGAGTACAGGACGACGTCTGTGGTTTGGTCAACTATGAAAATAACAGACACTAAAATTAGTCAGGTTGAATATATTGCATTACCACTGATGTAATACTTGATTTGGATATGCAAATTACAGCATTCTGCTGCTAAAGGAATTATATTTAAGCAACATATTTTAGGATTATTATTTTTTTGATAATGATAATTAAACAAGTTTTGCTGTTGCCTGTATGGAAATATGATATATGGCCATGTAGGATCATATACATTGAACTTATTTACATATTTGTATTTCAAATGGTTGATAAAAAATATATGCCATTACAATTAACAGCCAAAACACATAATTTATATATGTGAAATCCAAAAATGAACTTGTTTTATATGTCCTTTGCACATAAGACATATTTTATATAGGTGAAATCCAAACATGAATTTGTTTTATATGTCATTTGCATATATTGCATAAATATCAGATTTCTATAAGAGTGAGGTTTTGTGCTTAAGCCTTGGGTGGTTTAGGCCTGTCATGGATTTGGTTAGTGTAATAAAAACTGTAATAAGAAACATGCTTTTTTATTCATAGTAAATTCATGATAAATGTTCATAATTATTAAATATATGTAACACTAAAACTGCCAAAACAGGCCAGAAAGTCTGTCTTAATGAGTGATTCTTCAATAATTCAAATAATTCATTCAAAACAGCGGATTCATTTAAAAACAAATCCAATCACTTTCTTTGTAAATGGATCACTGAATCACTAAGATGAATAATAAAAGTGTGGATGTGAGAAGCACAAATGTTCTTACAATTTAGTTTTCTTTGAATAATTGTCTAAAATGGCACTCATTAGTCAATAAGTGGAGAGTTACTGGGGTTGTATTTTAATGCTATTTTAATATCCTAAAGGACCTTTTCATCCTAAAAAATAACTTTTTGTAGAATTAATAATTATCCATAGATGTTAAAGTTTCTTTATGGAAGTACACTTGCCAATAAATGACCTTTATTTTGAAGAGTATAATCTTGTGATGAGATGAGTACAGTCAACTGGATTGTTTAACATATACATCTTGTAAATGCTTTTGATGAATTCACCTGTAACCCTTATCCTCTTCACAACTTTGTTGGTCTCGTTCTTGATCTTGATATTGACAGGGATTGGATCCCCATGGTAGTAGATCTGTTGTCAACAGAGAAAATACATGTTAGTTTCTTCCAGATTTGGTGAACAAAAGACTACAATAGAGAGAGTTCACAAACCTCCTTTTCCAGAGAGGCTTCCAGAAGAACAGGCTTATCAGACATCATGAAGCTCTTGCAGAGCTCGGCTTTCTGTCCAGATCCTGTGTTATCAGGTGCAAACTGGATTTTACGAATGACAAGTCGGCAGGTATCCCTTTAGAGAGAGACGATAGAAATAATAAAAAAAAACAATTATAAAAAAATTTAAAAACAGAAATAAATGTGCAGAGTAATCAGTAACACTCTTACTTCTTGTCAACTTTCTCATCGGGGTCATCGGCTGATTTGGCCACGTAGGCTTTAACCTCGAAGTCAACGCCGCAAGCCTGTGAAGAACAGAGCCATGAAGATGTCCATTCAGTACATTTCAACTAATTTCAGCTGATTTTAACTCACTTTTCCTTTGTCGTCTGGCCCAGGCTGAAGTGTAACAGAGCAGGGAAGGTTGGTAGGAATCTGAAAGACAAACAGAACAGCTCGTTTTAAATGTATGTCTTAGTTCTGTGCAGTATTGTTTGGGTCAAATGATAGAAAGATTAAAAAAGACTTAAAAGGAAAAGTAAAATGATGGCAGATGACTTACATTGAAAGTGAAGGGATGGCCCTGCTCTCCAGCTTTCTTCAGGAGAGTGTTGTGCATCTCGGTCAGGGTGGGTTTGTGTCCTGCTTCAGGGTAGAGCTGTATGTGCTGAATCCAGATGTCTTTTCTGAAGGAAAGTCCAATCACGTCCAGGTCTTCACGGCCATAGCGGAAAGCACAGGCCAGCTGAACCCAAACTAGATGAAGCAAAGTAATGTTTAAATTTAAAGTCAGTTTTATACATCAATCTTTTTTAAATTAAACTGTTTTCATTAGCTGTCTTGAAGTCATTTTGACCCTTTCTTTGGGAACGAATGAATGAATCGATCGATCAATCAATAAAACTATTGGATTCACAGTTACAATATCAAAAAAATGGAATCAAGTTGAATGCGTACATTAATTAATCATTACTCTTTAAAATTAGGAAGAAAGTAATACTGAGAACTGATAAACTTTTATCAATTAACTATTCAATTATTTTAATTAGAAAGAAAACACTGTCAATACCTTTTTTGTCTCCGAGATCTGCAGGGTCAATTTTCACAGCGCCCTCTGGTTAACAACAACAAAAAAGAAATCAGTTTAGTTGTGGACAATTCCCTAATGTCTCTGTTTCAATATTAAATGCAGTCAGTTTCTCACCAACAGCGTCGACTACGTCCACATGGTCAACATAGTCTCTCTTACCGAGGTAAAGAGTAAGCTAAAACACAAACCCTCCATTACTCACACATATATTTAGACACAATGAAAGTTCAAATTTGTTAAATACTTTGACAAAGGTGAGTTCAGTTTTACCTGGCCATTTCCACTGGTCTTCTTGTAAACTCTGAACACACACAAAAAGAAACAATGGCATCAGGACACATACATTTGTCTGAACAATTGGTAAATATAAGCAAAAAAGTGAATGAAAAAATGTCTTAACCCATTACACTTTTGCTTAAAATATTAACAAATAACTTGCATACTAAAAGCTAAACAGCATGTATTTGAAAACATATGGAGTCCTTTCATCAGTTATACAAAGATGTGTAATTAACAGAAGAAGTTAATTAATAATTTTCGTGTGGACAATGCCGTTCCAGTCTCACAGTTCTGTATTGATACACTCTTGAATATACCATTGTTGTACCTTGTAGTAAGTATGATTATAACAGACATTTTTGAATAAATTATCATTAACCACAAAGGGGCTATTTATTTAAAATTTTTAAGTTTATATATATATATATATTTTATAATATATTATATATATATTATATATATATTTATTTATACATCAGTTCTGTTTGGTTCTCGAATCTGATTGGCTGATAACCATGATATATTTAAGTAATATCAGCACCTGTACAGCCTCTTTACCTTTTGTGTATTACTCCGCCTACGTTGTTTAACTGTGAGCTAATGATTTGAATCAAACGCGGAAGAAAGTAGTTCCTCATACAAAAGTATTTTTGAGACTCTCCATGTTTGATTTTGTTTTTATATACACAATTATGCCGTCAAACTGTTGTATAAACGCAATATCACACTTGTAGCAGTGTGATATGGCTGTATATCGGCACTGCTTGGGGCACTAAAGCACTCAGATCACATCTATGCTATTTGGTCTTTCCAGTTGTGAGAAATGTGGGTTTGGCTTTTGTGTTTCCTCATATTTATTTAAAAAAAGGTCATGGTTGGACAATTTCCTGTGCCTAGTCACCGATGTGTACTGAAAATGTCAATTATAAATTAAAGTATTGACCTTATCTGTAATGCATAATTAAGCTCTTTTCTGCAATTGCTTCAGGACTTCCGATCAATTTGTCAATCGGGCAAATGACTATAGGAATAATAAACAGTAGTAAATGGGCAAACTACTTGCACTCAAACAACTGTGTTTATGACTGTATACATAAAAATTGATAATATATAATAGGAAAATACAAGTTTGCATCATTAAGCGGCATAACAAGCTGCTTTTATAAATCAATAGAAATGAATGACACCAGTAAAAAGTTTCAATGGCTGTGCCTGCTTGTACTTGAAAAAAAAGATCAATACTTCAAAAATATAGATGTGTTCTTTGATAAAACAGTGCTGTGCTAGCAATTGTTTGTTGTCAATGAGAGCAGGTTTTTTTTTGTGAGCGTACTTTGAGCAAAAGATAAAAAGAGATCTGGAAGAACCATGAAAACTATAAGATCAACAGTGGGTGTGGTTTGTTTTTTTAAAACTGCAAACTGATTGGATGTAGTAAAATAGGCGTTTCATTTCCTGTCAAAGCTGATGGTTGGAGGGGCGTGGTTTGTTTATCACGTCAGAGGGAAGATGCATTTTAAGGTTTGGATTAACCCTTTATTGGGTTAACCATATGTGGTAACTAATTACGATAAGTACATATGTTTTAAAGCCATAAAACTAAAAACTACCAACCCCTAGTAACACTCCAATAAGGATTTTAACTAGTGTCCTATAAAGGGTTAAAGATTACAAAGACACTAGTTTTGGATTGACTTTCACAAATTAACTAGGACCAAAAAACTAGCAATGTGCACTAACAAAGTAGAAATGGTCTGTTTTTAATCAATGTGTACTTTAAACAACTAATTTTTTCCTCCTAACAGCATTCTTTGCTTATATTTGCCAACATTAATGGAGGGTGCTATAATGAACCATTATCTTATTTTAATGAAGTACAAAAAGAAAACAAAGTGGAGAGGCAAGGACAGGCTGAGTGAATTTAAACCCTTTACAGGGTGTGATTTAGGGTCACTCCTCCTATTAGGCCTGTCTCAGTAATTAACCTCTTCGTCACCTCTACCAGAGCAGCATATTAGAGTTTGCAGCTTTGACCTTCTCGTCCTGAGCATTCATCACGTTGTTAAAGCTTAGTATTTTAAGACACTTAAAGCCAAGTCCTGGACTACCCTGCGCACTAATCCAGGCTCTGTGAATGGAGGCAGCTTGTGTTTACTCCGAACGGGACACCTGATAATTGACTGTGACTGCCAGCTTATGACACGTCCATGTTTGCTATTGGTAAGATCTATTCTAAACTTTTTCATAGAGATGCAAACAGTAATTTAAATATATGTGATGATGCTTCTGTGGTAGAATTCTCTTTATGGTATTAATAACTTGTGATTTGATCTTGACCTATTCTACTTAGATTTGACATATAGAGTGTTTTAGTCATTTTTGATCTCTCAAACGGGCATTTGTGGATGATTTGCACCTTTTGTAATTGTTTGGGAATACATGTTAAAGTACAAAAATGCATAATAATATAATAAAATATAATAAAATATAATAAAATATAATATAATATAATATAATATAATATAATATAATACAATACAATATAATATAATATAACACAATACAATACAATACAATACAATATAATATAATATAATATAATATAATATAATATAATATAATATAATATAATATAATATAATATGTGGTGAAATGGTAAAAATCTGCTTGTTTTGACCCCATGGTCATTTCTAGTTTTAAAAATTGCTTTTCTGTTTTCGTCAAAACTTGGAAATAGTAAAAATGTACACTGAAAAATAAAAAAAGTAAAGAAATATAAGTAAAAGCTCATTGAAAAATGTCTACTTTAATGTTTAGATAACATTTCTGAAAATAAAAAGTCAAAATATGGTCAAACAGTGGTCATAATCATTTACCGTATTAGATATATTTATAAAAAAAAATTAACAATATTATGATTTCTGTATGTTTGCAGTATAAAATATGAGGGAAAAAAGAGGGAAGAACACTTACTTGTCAGCCATTGTACAAGAATTTTCCTGAAATAAAGGAGAAAATGAAATTATTATGAACACCAATATTTATAAACAAATTTAAAGCAAGGTGATGTCTGATTGTATAAGGCTTTGATGTATGTTTGTGTGTGAACGTACTGATAATCTCATCCAATGAGATTACATCATCACTCTTATTGGTGATTCTTATTGAGATAAGCCTTTTCACCACTGCTCATACAAGTCAACTCACACTCTGAATATGACCACCCAGCTGAGCTTTAGAAGAATTTTTTCTTTCTTACATGCAAATCATGTTGTGTGCACACATTACAACTGAATAATTAAAAAAAGAGGGAGTCATCGGTCTGTAATAAGGTCAGAAACCAAGAGACATTCTTGTTGTCCATACTGAATTTAATTTGAGCATATTAAATGCAATACCATCTGTGAAAAGGTCAAACTATGGGTGAAATAATGTACAAAATTCATACACTGAAAAATAATTAATTGGATTTACTAAATATGTTAAGGTAAGTGGCTGCAAACAATTTATATGGGCTGAATTTAAACAAACTAAATTTAGTAATGTACAATTTAATTTGTTTGTTTAATTTCAGCCCATATAAATTGTTTGCAGCCACTTACCTTCATTTATTTGAGTAAATCCAATTAATCATTTTTTTCAGTGTAGTAACAGATATGTTTAGGCAAAAATAACATTTATTCTCATCAGTTTGTATTATAATATACAAAGGCATCAATAATCATATTAAATTTCATTATAACTTACATTCCTTTATTAAAATGTTTGCTGACAAATGAGTATATCATAGTGGTTTGAAAGATAGATGGCAAATATCAAGTTTTAGACTTTTTTAAATAAATCTTCTTCTAAATATGTCAAGTTTTGTTCTTTTTGGTAATGTTGAATGACAATGAATGACATTTTAGTTAATGTCTTCAGTAAATCTTGGTAAAATCTTACGATACTAATTTTTGTCTGCTCTGAAAAAAATAACCGTTCTCACGTAAAAAATAAAATAAAGCAACATTACATTCATATTATATTACTTCAAACCCTCTTTCCACTGTCGACTGCTGCATTAAAGTAAAAAAAAACATTTGAAGAGCTGTCAAAAGGTATACTGTGCTTGTTTCTTCCCCTTGGCTCTAATCTGTTACATTTCTTTTGATTGTAAAGCTCATGCTGAGATACACAGCTTGATCTTCTTATCACGCTGCTGCTCATCTCTGTTCAATATCAATTTTGCTGATTAAATGGGTCTCTGGAGGAAGACTATCTGAATGTAATCAAATATTTTTTGCATAAGTCGGCTATATGAATATTAACTAGGCCCTGCTGACAATACATAAGAATATGTAGGCTTAATTTAACAAATACTGTATTTAAGAGATTTAGATTTTGACTTTAGAAAGCTTGGAAGATTTGCAGCCAGAATATGATGTAACTGAAGCTACGTTGTCCTGTAAAGTAAAATCATTGAGCTGTTACCTGTTCACTGGTAGAGCGATGGGCAATCTTCTCGTCTCCCTGATAATCCGCAGCCCGTCTGGTGTAGTCAGAGAGTACGGATGACACTCTGAGGCGCGGGGTTTTATACTCGGACCTTTGCTCTTCTGGCTCTTCTGTTTTAGACGCTGTTGTGTTTCTGTCAATCCAATTAAACACTTAACCTGCTATTTAGGGCTACGGCATGTTTATAAATAAAAATGGGGAATTAAACCAAAGATCTACAGGGAAACTGCAAGGGTTGAGTTCAAAATGTGCTGTTTCCATGGAAAGGCATATGGGTAAGAGAGTTACGAGAGAGTGCTGTTTAATAACACATGTAAGCTTGTTCCAGAGATTAAAGCTAAAAAGGTACAGTTTAAACTGTTTTCTCTGAATTTGTTATGTTTCATTAAAGGTCTTCACCAAAACACCAAGTAAATGTAATATATTTACATTGGCAAAGTGGTTTACACGCCTATCAAATACTAATGTGAGAAATCAAACACAAAGTTGATGATTTAATGCATTTAAAAGTTCACTGTAAAGAAAAATCTGTTAATCAAGATTATTGGGCTTATTTTCAGTTAGTTATAATAATGATAATGAAAGGTTAATAAAGTGACTTTAATCAATTTTTTTTAGTAGTTTGAAACAATATGTTGTCTGTGATAGTCATGTAAATTAAACATTCAGTTGGCACTGGTTCAAAAATAATCATTAATAGTGTAGTAATCTATAAGTGATATCACCACAAGGGGATTAGGACTACTTTGGCAAACCTTTGTCAACTATCATGACATCTAGTTACGTCCACAAATGCCAGTTAAAACTGTACTGTGCCAAAAGGAAGCCTTATGTTAACAGTGTCCAGATGTGACTTCTCTGTGCTCAGAGGTATCTGGGATGGAGCATCAAATATTGGAAATGTGCACTGTGGTTAGATGAATCAGTATTTCAGGTGTTTTTGGGGGGAGAAAAGGACACTGTGCTCCGGATCAAAGAAGAAAAGCATCATACAAACTGCTTTTGAACAAGTCCAAAAGCCAGGGTCTGTCATGATATGTGGTTGTGTCAGTATATTTACCAAACGAAACTTGCACTTCTGTCATGGCATCATTAATGCTGAAACGTACATAGAGATTTTGAAGCACAATATGCTATCTTCTTTTCCAGGGACACTCATGCATATTTCAACAAGACAATGCAAAACCAGAGTCTGTGTAACCCTGCCGGTCTTACACCATCCAACCCGCTCCGAGCTGGTATCGAACCGGCGACCTTCCGCATGGGAGTCGGGCGCTCTACCAAGGAGGCTAAAGACCATGGCCTTTAGCATTTGTCGCTAGAGCACCTTTAGAGGGCAGAGGAGTGAGGTGTACCTGCACAGCACTTACTAGCCGGCCTCCGTTACACTCACCCCCCTAAACCTCACTCCCATCCAGGTCACGGCACTAATGTAACCCTGCCAGTCTTATGCCACCCAACCCGCTCCGAGCTGGTATCGAACCTGGACCTTCCGCATGGGAGTCGGGCGCTCTACCAAGAAGGCTAAAGATCATGGCCTTTAGCGACTGTTGCTAGAGCAACTTTAGAGGTCAGAGGAGTGAGGTGTACCTGCACAGCACTTACTAGCCAGCCTCCGTTACACTCACCCCCCTAAACCTCACTCCCATCCGGGTCACGGTACCAATGTAACCCCGCCGGTCTTACGCCACCCAACCCGATCCGAGCTGGTATCGAACCAGCGACCTTCCGCATGGGAGTCGGGCGCTCTACCAAGGAGGCTAAAGACCATTGCCTCTAGCGTCTGTCATTGTAAAAGCGCTATACAAATAAAGCTGAATTGAATTGAACTGAACTATCAAATAATAAATAGCTTAAAGAGACTAATAATTTTGACCTTAAAATGTTTTATTCTAGCCGAAATAAAACAAATAAGACTTTTTCGAGAAGACAAAAATATTGTCAGACATACTGTGAAAATTTCTTTGCTCTGTTAAACATCATTTGGGAAATATTTAAAAAAGAAAAAAAAATCAAAGGGGGCTAATAATTCTGACTTCAACTGTCATAAGATCAAAAGTTTGGTCTTTTGAAATAATCTAGCAGTCTTTCATCCTGTTTTAGTGAACATGGCCATAAAATATTTCTAATTAAGTGAAAATAGATGGATAGAAACTTTCAGATGCAAATATTCAAAATCATTCACGTTTTTTGGTCAATTAATTACCATTAGTATAACCACAAATTTACTGTAAGGTTAAACTATGCTTAATGTGGAAACATTATGTTGACTTTTATTTTTACAGAAAGCTGAATGTTCCTTCAAAAGGACAGGTAAGGACATTCTTGAAGTATTTTCAATTGCCAGTAATAAGATTTTGAAGACAACTGCCTAAAGATAGATCATTCACCCTGTTCTGTGCATAAATATAGTAGTGCACGTACACAGTAAAAAAGTCTTGGTTCCACATAACCGATTTGTGTTGGAACAACATGAAGGAATTAAGTTACTAGCTTATTATGAATTTAAGTGGATTGAACAAAAAACAATTAAGTTGTCCCAAAAAAAAATCAAGCATTGTGTTGTTTCATCTCATTTTAAATAAGTAGTTTTAACAAACAACAAACGTCCTTTTTAGAATGTATTATATGTACACAATTTTTTGTTATAAACTGTGCATATATTGCAGCGTTTCTAGCATTAATCATGTATTTTGTTACATACAAGATTGCACACAGCTAAAAATGGGCAAGCTAAGTAGGAAACCCAAAACAAAACACAATATATCGGATAAACCAGTTGACCTGCAGCTCCAGATGGCCGACAGGCTTGGAAACACACTGACCTCTGGATGCTTTTCTTAAGCCTTTCCTTACATTAAAGGTTTTTGTGTTGAGTGATTGTCATAATTATTGTATTTAATATTAGTATTTTTTAAATTATAGAATTATTTGAAATTATAGACTATAGATATTGTTTCATTTTAAGAGAACACCTATAAAAATATGTAAATAGTTATATATAAATTAAAACAAACATATATAAACACAGTTAATCATTGACTGTTAATTTAATTATGTATTTTGCACATACTGAAAGTAAAATATGTTGTAAATAGGTAACTGCAAAAGTAATTATACACCCACACATTAGAGGTGCTTCCTTGCACAAAAGGTGTATGTAAGCTTATTATGAAATCCCTCTTTGCCCAACAGCAGGTAAATCTGTTAGCGTCAGTGTTCACTGAGATGGCCTTTCCTCCCATCTGTTCCCTCCTATCAGGTTCTGGCAGTCCAACCACATGTTTATATAAAAGCTCTTCGCCAATCACAGGGGTTTGAACGGTGCAAGAATTGGCAACTTAAGGACCTTGCTTGAGCATAATCCACTTAGTGCTAAGAATTCACTTAAATAGCTGCAGTCGAGTCAAAACATCAAGTCAAGAATATATGTCGTTATTTTTAGGACAGAGGATGAATCATCTAAGCATTCTCTACAAAGTGTGATAAGTTCATTGATTTAATTAAAACAATGCAGCAAGTCAAAGTTATCAGACTAATATTTCTTATATTGGGACAATGATTATTATTAATAGTACAAACAAATATGGTTTAAAGCCTCCACTGCGTAAGTAAAAAAAAGAAGTCAATAACATCTTTGCCTCAACTATTTTTAGTTCAGAGTGTGAAGATTTCAGATTTAATCCAAAGGTAATTACAGAAGAGCTCAGTGGTGGCTGTAATAGTCAGCTTGTTGAAAAGGAGGTAAAGCTCAGGTAACAAAGTGTCAAAGGCTGTAGTGTAAATATAGAAAACAATAATTTATTTATGATTGGTTTTGGATTGTTTAAAAACCATAAACATCTAAAAATACTTCTGAAAAAGTATATTGACCTCTTGTATGTATCATAAACAGGATGTCTTTAAAGCATTTTTAAACATTGAATGATCCAAAATTATAGTAATACAAAAATGATCCAATGAAACGGAATAGATTCTTCATTCTAATAATTTATGACTATCTACATGCTTGAAAAAAATCTGAATTATCAAATGTTTCTAATAATATCACACAAGACATCTTAGAATTCCTCTGAAATACATTTTCACCAATTTTATCGAATTTATTGTATTATCTAAAGCAGAACATAACATTTATATTCTAAAAAAAATCCAACTTTCTTAAAAACGTTTTCAATAATGATAATGTTCGCGTCAATCTTTAAATATTTTTTGAGAAGGATTGAAAATTACATATTCCAAACATTTACAATGCTGCCCATGCTCACTAGATGGCATCTGTTTCATTAGTCAGGTGGCTGATGCCCGGTGTGGTTCTGCTGATGTTTACCCTCAGTTGGCACAGATTGATTCTGAGTTTAATCTCTGTTAATCTGTCTACACTCCTAGTTTGTCCGTAATGGGATTGTTTGTACTGAGTGCGCAGGATAGATTCCCTCTTTATTAAAGAGCTCGAAGACAAAACCAATGTCACTCAACTGAAGTAAAGAGCAATGCACTCTGGCGTGACCTTTCGTAAATGCCCAGGAATCCCAGAGATCTGAAAGCTTCTCAGCATCTTCTTGGCATGTTTTAAGCTTTCAGCCTTCATTTGGACGTTTAGAGCGGGAACGACCGTTAAATTCAAATGTTCAGCGTTTTGTGTATTGTTGCTTCTACAGGCGTCTTTTAAACAAATAGAATGATTTTGAATTTTAGAATGTTGGATTAAGATAAAATGGGATAACGTCAATTTGGTTTAGAATAGTTATGACGTTATTTTTTTAAATGAAAGTATGCACTAATGACGTATTGAAGAAGAGTTAGTGTACCCTACTGGCTGATACATGTAATCCCTGCCTAAAAAACAACAAACCAACACAGAAGTATTACTTCTTAAGTTTAAGTTTTTATTTTTATGGTTATGATGTAAACTATATTGGTTTAATGTCAGATGCAAAATGTACATTGGAATGAATGATACAATGATGTAATGTGTAGGGGTGTCAATTTAGGTGAATCAAATTTATCTATTTATTTAAATGACATCAAATTTATTACTAAGATATATTTAAGTTTTCAGTGTTTTGAGGGATATTTAACATATTCTGACATACAGTAACCTCTGCTTTTTTTCAGAGGTTACTATAGCTCAAACTATGCATCTAATATTACTTCTGGGCAATATGTATAAATACATACACCTAATTTACAAAAAAAAAAAAGTCTTGTGACCTGTTACGCTATCCATCGCTGCTAAAGATCTGCTTGGTTAGACTGTTGAATGATTCTGGCAAAGACTGATTGGTGAACCATTATAAGGGTGGTGAAATGTATATTGGCTTTATCTATTATTTTAATTATTATTATTTAAGATACAGCTCTACCTCATGAACAGTTAAATATTCCCCAACTGTGCAATAAAGATCTGCAATACTTTCTAATATGTCTTTTTGACTAAAAACAGACATCTCTGTTTAATGTTTGTCTTCTTTTTTCATATTTATTTTCATGTTCTCACTTATATACACTGAAAGCTTCTGTAGCCAAAACAAATTCCTTGTGTGTGAAAGCACACTTAGCAATAAAAACGATTCTGATCAGGGAAAACGATTTCTCACTATTTAAGGGCTGACCCGCCCACACATCTTGACGTACTTTAGGTGGGATCAAGCATTAATTAGGGGAGTAATTCTCCCGCGAACCCCCCCTGTAATTCGCACCCAGGTTTAATGGAAAAGGTTGTGGTCCTGTTGGTCTATACTTATATATTTTACCTTTTTATGGTGGCATATTAAAGTTATTACATCCTAATTGATGTCTTCAAACACACTAGGCAAGGCAAAATTAATAAACTTTTTTTTTATGATAACATTGTTGGTTTGTAGTTTTAAGGTTATTAGTAGTGGAGTTCATTGGAATCTTCTGTAATGTTTTTTTGTCGGAAAATGTCCAGTCTGAAATTATGTGATGAGTGAGAGATTATAATTTATGTAGAGTAAAAATATTGGTGTGTGGTCATCTTTTAAACACAGAATATAAAGAAATTTTGTGTTTGCTCTTTGTTATACAGAATGTTAAGCTTTTAAATCTTTGTTCTGGAGATTTACCTTCATTCTGAACGTCTAGAACTAAGATTACAAAGCTTAATCGCAGTGCTTGGCGTTAAAAGTACTGGAACAGGCCAGGAACGTTTTGAACACCATCCAGATCTTACAAAATATTTACATTTACCAAAGGTCAGAGTTTATGTTGGCCTGTCCTCAGTTTGGGTGAATCTAATATAATGTCTAGGCCATATTTTCTACATTAACTAATCTAATCAGGTGTCAGGTGAATTAAATACAGTACTAGCCTACAAGCTTTTATAAACAACCCCCCGTCCAAAAGAAGAAAAAAAAAGAATTTCTAAATTATTTTAAATTCACGTATTATATTTAATGCATGTATAATGATGCAAGCATTTAATATAATTTATGAACAAATGCATACATTATATTTAATGCATGTTTTAATAAATGATAAATTAATAAAAAATAGTGTATATGTATTTAACGATGGTATACTGTAAATTGTATTATTTATACAGTAAATGCAATAATATGACATATATAGTACTGTATCCATTAATGATTGAAGACGTTATAGTAATATCTTATATTCTAAATGTGAATTACGCATTTATTTTGAGTGAGTTGAGTAAGTGTAGGTGTATGACCAAGTGCGTGTCGACCTCTGTCCATGGTGCTGATTTCATAACTCGTGCGCCTCGTTAACTAAAACACACAATAAATAACCCACCCGCCCACGTCTGATTGAAATTAATTCTGCAAACCTGTGTTTTACGTCGGTCTCCAAGTGAGAGAGCATGTATTATAATTGTGACAGTAATGAGCGGATAAGCGCGGTCAAGGTGTCTGTCGTCGCCACTGCAGCATCATCTGCTCTGCGGCTGCTCAAAGCTGCTGCCGCCGCCGCCGCTGCTGCTAACAGTCCCGCAGACAAAGTCATGAAGGGAGGGAACTTCTGAGGCTAAGAAGTGGGTCTGCATCCCCACCAAACCGGCACATTAGAAACAATGGCGGAGGCTAATCCACTCAGGGGACTGCCCCGGATCCAGAGGGCTGCGGTAAGATGGATTCTGCTCTGTTTTGGACCGGGTTTGTGCTGCAGAACTGACTGACGAGACTGCGGGCGACGGGTGGGAGTCTTGTTCGCTTTATATTAATAGGAAACTGCAAACTAAATCACGCGTGCGTTAGCAATTATAACTGTTTGTTAGGAACGCGATGTTTATTGATTACATTTGGATCATTAGCTGTGAGATATCGCTACGGTTTTTGAAACACACACCTGGGCTCATTCGTGATATATAAATAAACTAGACTTTCTGGGGGCTCTGCATTTGTGTTATGCAGTATGATAAGTTTTAACCTCTAATGACGACCATTGTTGCAAAAAAGTATGAGGGTCTGGTGAAGTTCATCTATCATGAGTCTATCAGACAGAGTGAAGACAGACAGCCTACACTTACTTGTCAGCATTAGCAGTTGAACGGAGTCAACAAATCCAGCCTGCTCTATAGATTTAGCTTTTCTAAGGCTTTGAGTAAAAAAAAGTGCAGAGCAGTTGCTTAGCAAGACTAAATTTTATGCTTTAATCAGCAAGAAATCTGTCAGAAGAGCAGTTTGTTTAATCTTTTAGCTATTTTAAGGCTAAAATACATTTGATTTTAATTTCTAACTTAATCGTCATTTTAATATGTGCATTTATGGAAATATGGGTGGGCGTCTGACCCACATTTCTACATCTATGAAGGCATTAAGTGGGAGGATCGAGGATGATAAAACGAGATTTACAGTAATGCTATGAACAGCATTTGGTTTCACTTTATTTTGATGGTCCCTTTAACACGTTTTGTTGACTTGAAGGTACATTGCATCTAGATGCCAACTTATTCTTAACAGATTATAAGTAGACTGTTAGGTTAGTTGACGTACTTGCAAAGTTTCTTATAATCAGTTAAATGTCTGTTAAAGGAGCAGTATACCAGCAGATATTATGCAGACAGTCTACTAATACTCAAATGATAAGTAATTGGCATGTAGTTGCAAGGCTGCATTTAGTCAACAAAATGTGCAATAGAGACCATCAAAATAAAGTGTTAACCAGCATTTTAGTAAACATTTGGACACTCGTAATATAAAGGTTTTATTGGCATTAATAAATAAATCAATGAAAATTCTGTCATCATTTACTCACCCTTCACTTGTTCTAAATCAGTTTGAGTTTCTTTCTTCAGTTAAACACAAAAGGAGATGCTTTAAACAATGTTGAACACCAAAAGCCATTGACTTCCATAATATTAGTTGTTTCTTTACCATGGATGTGAATAGTTATCTTCTTTTGAGTTCATTATTTGGAAAATAATTGAGGGTGAGTAAATAAATAGTGAGTAAATTTTATGGCTTTATGAAAACCTTTAATGCAAAAGTTTCTTTATAATGAAACTATGTTTTATATATATATATATATATATACCATTATATATACCATATATAAATACCATAGTTTTTATTTCCCATATGATGTTTAACAGAGCAAGGAAATTTTCACAGTATGTCTGATAATATTTTTTTCTTCTGGAGAAAGTCTTATTTGTTTTATTTAGGCTGGAATAAATGCAGTTTTATATTTTTAAAAAACATTTAAGGTTAAAATTATTAGCCCCTTTGAGCTAATTTTATTTTTGATACTTTAAATAACATTTAAATAACCCGAAAGAGTGTGGTTGGCTACAAGCTTAAAGTACTGAAATCTCTTCTTCAGATGTCATTCCCTGGACATCTGCACTTGGTTCTAGTGGTGAGACCCAAAACTCACCCGCAGACAACTGGAACAGACCTCGGATTCAGATTCAGTCAGGACGACTTTGCTCTCAAGATGCCGGTAAGAGAAAATAAATATGAAAATGTTTACTACAATTACTAAAATTACTTTATAGTGATTAGATGTGAGCTAAATCATAGGCCAGTCACTGCCTGATTATGTAGGAAAACATTTAATAGCTTATATTGTTTGTTAAACAATAATTAGGCCATTAATAAGCCTTAATAGTTAGTTCACTAATCAAATGCATTATGCATACTTAATTTTATTGAAATTATTTTTCATTACACATACCAGGCCTAATTAATTCTCTGCTCCTCTTCTGCTTCATTCAGATGATAATGCTGAGCTCTCTGTCGGACCTGCTTCGCTTCATTGATGAAAACCAACTGAGCACTGAGTTTGGTGGGAGTCTGGAGCAATGCCACAGTGACTGGATTGTCCTACGAACCGTAAAGCAGCATATTGTTTTCATGCAGGAAAAAATTAACAAAAAATTGCATAATGGAATTATATTGAATCAAACTGTTGTATTGTATGCTTCACTGTTTGATGCAGATGAGAAACAAACATATCTAATCTCTTATTTAATGATATCAGTTTATTTCCTGTTCATTGTGATGTCATGTGAGTGTCATTTTAGGATGCTTCGACCTACAGTTGGAGGAAATGCTGAGTAATGCATAATGTCTGTGTGTGCTGCCACCTGCAGGCCATAGAGAGTTTTGCTGTAACCGTGAAGGAAATCGCTCAGCTCCTGCAGACCTTCGGCACAGAGCTGTCCGAGATTGAGCTGCCGGATGACGCCAGCGGCATTGAGTACTTACTCAGATCACACACTGAAAAATACAGACAGATGAAGGTATGGACAAATGTGTATTATAAGCTGAACAGATGTTTTTATATAATAAGGTCTCTTTATATAATATAATAAATAATTATTGCTCAGTATAATAATAAATATATATAAAATGCTCTGCTTTAATTCAAATTCAGTACTATTTTATGCAATTAAAATGATATCATGTATTTAAAAATATTATAATATACATTATATATTACATATTACTGTAAATATTATGGATTTTTAATAAGTCTGGCATTTAAAATAATACACTGGCTTGAAAAAAAAAAAAAACTTATTCCCAGCATTAAATACAATTTTGAGTCCCAGACTTTCAATGTTTTTTTTTTCATCAAAATAAACTAGTGTAAATCACAATGATTGATTTTCACTACGGAAAAAATAAACAAAAAGAAAATGTTGTGCCAATGCAAGACATCTAACAAAGAATCTTGTACAGATTACAAATAAACAAAAAGAAGACGATGAAGAAAATAGTAAATATATAATTCATTAGTTTTCCTGCAGCTTAGTCCTTTCATTGATCGAAGGTGGCCACAGTGGAATAAACCACCAACATATTCAGCATATCTTTTATGCAGCGGATGCACTTCCAACTGCAACCCAGTACTGGAAAAACACCCATAAACTCTCACATTTACACATACACTACCATCAATTTAGTTTATTCAATACACCTGTACCCCATGTTCTTGGGCTGTGGGGGAAATCGCAGCATTCCAGAGGAAACCCACGTGAACATAGGACGAGCATGTAAACTCTACACAGAAATGACTCTCTTGTTGTGAGGCCACAGTGCTAACCATTGAGCAACCATGCCGCCCAAGAAAATATGACTGAAAATGGAATTAATAATTGTGTAACAAAACTTTTTAATGCAAATTATAAACATATAAGCTTTTAACATGCAGAACGGTTACTCCCAACTTTAAATTAGATTTTGAACTTCAGACATTTAATCTGGTGTTATGACTTCTGTAAAACATATTGTAACACTTTATAACATTAGTTAGCTATATTATTCATACATTCATTTATTTTATTTTCGGCTTAACTTTATTAATCTGGGGTCGCCACAGAAGAATGAACCCCCAACTTATCCAGCATATGTATTACGCAGGGGATGTCCTTCCAGCTGCAACCCATCTCTGGGAAATCTATATACTCATTCACTACATTTAATCTACCCAATTCACCTGTACCGCTTGTCTTTGGACTGTGGGGGAAATCTGAGCACCCAGAGAAAACCTACACGAGCGCAGGGAGAACATGCAAACCCCACACAGAAACGCCAACTGACCCAGCCGAAGCTCGAACCAGCGACCTTCTTGCTGTGAGGCGACAGCACTCTGCGTCTGCCTAGTTAGCTATATTAGTTCCTGTTAAGTGACAACGTACAATAAATCTAAAGCATTTATTAACATTACTTCACCTTTTACTAAAAAAAAAAGGTATGCGAGCTGTCACTGTTGGTGGTATCTACAAATCTGTAACTTGAAGGTCCATATTTATACCTCAAGGGTACATATCAGTACATAAAAAGTACAAAAGAGTTTCTTTTAAAATTTGTAGGTACTAATATATACCTTTGAGGTAACAATATGGACACTAAAAGTACAAGTGTGTAACTTTTTAATAGGTACCACCCCGTGAAAGCTCACATACCTTTATTTCTGAGAGTGTAGTTATACGCTTGCTCATGCTAGTTAAAGTGAATTAAAGTTAAGAAATGAGTCCGTATTATAATGTATGCAAAAATTATCAATACAATAGTAGGAATGATTGCCACAACACAATGTCTCACCACCAAATAATAAGTCTTGTTTAAAAAAAGACTTATACCCCAATATACATGTCATAAGTAGAGACATATGTTTTGAAAACTATTACAGGATGACATCAGGTCGGTTATGAGAGAAGGAAGGCAGCTGCTCTCAAATCTGGAGGCTTCAAAAGCAGTGGAAGGAGCTGCAGCAGAAGACAGAGACATCAGCCAAGACAAAGAAAGAGTGCAGAGGTACTGTACACTCAGCAATACTCAATAAAACATCAGCTCTTTTAGGTTAAGCTCAGTAACTCTCCAATTAAGGAGCCTTTATATGATTTCTCTTTTAATTTTATGCTCCGTTATTTGAATGAGTATCCAACCAGCTATTTATCACAATAATCTTCCACTAATAAATCATAAATCATGTTTATTTGTTTCTATCAGGCTCGTGGCACAGTTACGGGACATGGAGATGGCTTTTGATGGCTTTTTTGAGAAGCACCACCTCAAGCTCCAGCAATACCTTCAGCTGCTCCAATACGAGCTCAGCTTCCATGAGGTATGAGCCAGTGTTTGTGAACTAAAAGTGTGAAAATAACAGTAGGTTTCTTTAAAACACTGCTTTCCTGGTAATAATACATTTCGTCTTGAATCCCTAAGCATTTATGCTGACATTTAAGACACACAATTGCTTTTATGTCTGATATTTTGCTATTTTGCTGGGCTACGCGTAACTGTTAAATGTGATTTGAGAAGTCAAAACAGAATGAACAGAATAAAAAGGGTTTACCAATGCAAACTGCTTTGACATTTTAATCTGTATGCTCACTTTACATTTTATCCAGTTATTCAAATAAGTTTCACAATGCATTACACTATGTGAATAATACAAAGATATTAGCTGTGGAAAGATCCATTTTGGACTGTAAAAACGCTACAGTAAAAATCTGTAACCTGGTTAATAGTCTGTTTTCTTATTATAGTATATACAGTAATAACTGTAAATTTACTTTTCCAGAATTTCCTGCATTGATAATTCACTTTTTATGCTCTTTTGGTTGACATTACTATGTTTTTTTTCTCATGAGTTATTTACATTAGAGGTTTGTTACATTTGATGTTGATAAATAATATTTATTGCATTACTTCTATTTTATCTATTCTATTCTATTCTATTCTATTCTATTCTATTCTATTCTATTCTATTCTATTCTATTCTATTCTGTTGCATTCACACTACTATTCATGTCTGTGTTACTACCATGATAGTGCTTAGTAGTTGTGTGACACTAGAAGTTTATAGTGTATGCTGAGTAGTAGGGATGTAACACGATAAGAAATGATTCATGATACTAATCTCACAATTTAGTCACAATGTTTTTAACAAAAATAATTGAGGCAAATTTAAGTTGAAAAAGAGCCCTTTCATTTTTTCTCAAATACTGCCCAATTCGTCACCTTGGAATTATAAGGTTCTATCTGCGTTCTGAATGATTTTGAGATATTGAGATTCAAAGTTTTTGCATTCCATAGCAAACAGTATGTGTGTACATTTATTTTTTAAATAAAAAGTCTTAAAATGTAAACAACTTATAAAAAACATCCTATAATGTAACTAAGTTGTCATTTAATAAGAATATGTCAATAACTCAATTTTGACAAAAATGTCAGATAAAACCTTATAGTTCTAAGATGACGAATTGTTTTTACAAAGCAAAAATCTTTTCTGCAATAATTAAATTGGAATTTTAAAACAAAACGCAAATAAAACAAGTGATTAATACAAACTAAAGAAGACTCTTTAGTATAAGCAAACTAAAACTTTGACTGTGCCGCTACATTACAAATTTAAAATGAATTCCAAATCAAAAATGAACAATACAAATTAAAGAAGGCTCTTTAATACAAGCAATCTAAAAGTGTGACTGTGCCGGGACATTTTTTAAAATAAATATCAAAATATCTATGCTTTCTGGCATAAGCTGAGATCTGTGCACATTTACAATGTTCTCTGCTGATGAAAAAACTCTTTCACTGGTGACTGAGGTGGCTGGTGTAGGGAGAAATCTTTTCCTAAACCAGAGAGCAGTGTGTACAGAGGTGGTCAATAGCCCCTTCTGCTTCAGGGGACTGGCCACTGCCATCAAATACTGATTATAAAAAATTATATATGGTATAATAAGCAAATTCTTAAAATATTCATAAACTAAACTGAAAAAAATAAGGTAAAGAAGGAACAATCTAATACCTGTTTTTTCACTGTGCTGCATCATATTCATTGTTCTGTTAGTGTAAGTAAACGTCTTTCTGCAATATTTGCACACACCCCGCTGTAATTTTAGTCTGCCGCTCCACCTCTTGCTCACTGCTGATATGCAGGTAAAGTGAGTTTTGGCCTGTAAAAACAATGGCTCAATCTGTTCAAAACATGTATTGCCATTCATTCAACATTTGCATTGATTTGAATCGTCACATGAATCGATTTTCAACCGACTCACAGTGAATAGTTGCATCCCTACTGAGTAGGCACACAGAATCTGTACATGCAGAAATCTGCAGATATTTTAGCCCATCAGTGAGTCTGTTTATTTATTTACTTATGTAAATATGTGTTTATATATATATATTTTTATATATATTTATTTATATATATATATATATATATATATATGATATTCAGTTTATATATTGATTTCAGTAATATTGTAACTAATATGCAAATGTTTATGATTTTCTTTATATGAAGTACAATTTTGTCTTTTAGTAGATATTACATGAGAGACTTTGTTTATCAAACATGTTTATCTAATTGAATTTGCATTGCAAACCTTAAATAAAAGATAAAAAGGTATTATTTTATTGAATCTGGTGATGAGTATTGGGTTATGGGTCATGACTTTCTCATCCCTGACATGCTTTTGGTTGCATTTTGCAGGTACAATGTGTAGACATTAGTACTTCAAAACATTGGTGTATTAACACTTTAAATGAATCAAATATGATTGTTCACTGTAATTTTTTACAATTCTTTTATGGTTTCTATTGTATTTTTAACATTGCTGCCATTTTTTAACAGTAAATTTTACTTATTTTTATTGAAAGATTTATATCAAATGCATTTTGTTATTATATCAATACTAATTAAACAGTGCTATATTTCTTTTTTGTAAAAGAGTATTAAAGCAGAACAGAATATTAAACTCAAAGGCATCATTGAAAAATAATTATGTGGCCCTGATCTGCTCATAGATGGAGGCCATTCTGGAGAAGCTCAATATCCAGGAGAAAGCTATCGCATCTGTGGGGACAACCGTGGCTCAGACGGAGCAGCTGCTCAAAGACCTCGAGATGCTTGAAAACACAGCCGAGGTAGAAAATATCTCACAATCTCTTTTTCACTAGTAAATACCAGTGTTGGGGTAATGCAATACAAGTAACCTGAGTTATTTAATGAAATTACTTTTTCAAATAACTAAAAAAATAATGGATTAGTTTTTGATTTTCAAGATAAATTTTAGGTTACTTTTTAAAAAAAGTAACGCAAGTTAGGTTGTTTCACACATATCGACTGACAGCTCTTCTGTTCCTGCGTTGATAGAAACTGGGAGTAAATTCAGATGTGTTGTGTAAACATGATACTTAGTGTAGCTCTATAGCTTAAATGGTAACATGTAACTACTCATATCACTTGCACAAAAAAAAACTGAGTATCCCTTCATGCAGTCCAGAAAGGCTGAAAGACCGACTGCACAAATGTGATTCCACATTTATATACAGTTGAAGTCAGATTTATCAACCCCCCTGAATTATTAGCTCCTTTGTTTATTTTTCCCCCAATTTCTATTTAACAGGGAGAAGATTTTTTTTTCAACACATTTCTAAACATAATAGTTTTAATAACTAATTATAAAAAACTGATTTATTTTATCTTCGCCATGATGACAGTAAATAATATTTGACTAGATATTTTTCAAGACACTTCTATACAGCTTAAAGTAATATTTAAAGGCTTAACTAGGGTATTTAGGTTAACTAGGCAGGTTAGGTTAACTAGGCAAGTTATTGTATAATGATGGTTAGTTCTGTAGACTATTGTAAAAAATATATAGCTTAGAGAGGCTAATAATTTTAACCCTAAAATGGTTTTTAAAAAATAAAAAACTTCTTTTGTTCAAGCCGAAATAAAACAAATAAGACTTTCTCCAGAAGAAATAATATTATCCGACATACTGTGAAAATTTCCTTGCTCTGTTAAACATTATTTAAGAAATATTTAAAAAAGAAAAAAAAATTCAAACGGGCTAATAATTCTGCCTTCAACTGTATGTATAATAACTATTATTATTAAAAGAACACACTGAAAATATTTAAACAGTATAGTTTTCCTTTAATAAGATCAGCCCAGATGTGGGAATGGAAAAGTAACACGACACATTAGTTTTATTAAAAAGTAACCATTACATTCAGTTACTTAAAAAAGGAATAATGCTATATTGTGATATATTAAATTTAAAAGTAACTTTTCCCAACACTAGTGAATACTAGATTGTACTTCAGTCTAAATGCTCTGCACACCAAAAATGCTGACTGAAGTTAAACCAATACCAACAAGATAGATAGTCTTTTAACTGATGCCCCCCCCCCCCCCCCCCACACACACACACACAAACATATAAATTTGGAGTTTGATCAAAAGCTGAGAGCGCTCTGTTGTTCTTGCAGGATGAAATGGGCCGTGCTCAGATTATTATTCTGCATGGGCACCAGCTGGCAGCCAGTCATCACTACGCTCTTGCCCTGATAGTTCAGCGCTGCAATGAACTGAGGCATCACTGTGACACTCTCACAACAGCTCTGCGTGCCAAACGGGCATCTCTCACACGCATTCGAGACCTGCTTTTGCGGTTGGAGGAGGTATTACCTATGCATGCATCATGTAATATATGGATTTATGTAAAGCACATAAAGACTGTGCATTTCTGTGTATGGGCAGACTGTGCGTTGGTGTGATGAGGGGGCTTATCTGCTGGCGAACCAGCTGCTGGATAAGTTTCAGTCCAAAGAGGGGGCGCAGGCAGCCCTGCGGGACATTGAGACGCTGATGGAGACGGCACCCTCAGTCCTACGCTCTAACCTGGATATCCTCAATCTGGAGTTTCAGGCAGTACTCACACCACAGCTGCAGGTACTATATCTCACAACGTCTCATTTAATTTCGTTAGACAAGCAGAGGATTGATTGCTAAGCATATTAATTTCCTACCGCTCTAATTTTTCTTATGAGAACAAAGACTGTAGGTTACAGTTGCACATGTCTCCTCTGGAGTATTATGATGATGATGATGAAGCCTATATTTGTCACATACACCCTTACATGTTACAAAATTGGACCCCCCGACCATACACAAAAATCACATATTTCAGGGGAAGACAGGTCAAACAATAGGTAGCTTTTAGGAAGAGGAAATAAGACACATTTAGGAAGAGGGAGGTGAAAAAGATACCCCACGGACTGTCCTTGAAGTAGGGCAGTGTGAGATCAGGGAACAAAAGCCCCAGCGCAAGCACATAAACACGTAGATATAGACATAACATTGCAGCAGGGGATGGGAATGGGATGTGGATATAGTCCAATGAAGGCGGCAGCCATCTGGTCCTGCAGCCAGGGGGCGCTGGTCACAGACCTGCCTACCCACACAGGTGGGTGAAAGCACACAAAGGCGTGGGATGCGGGGGTAGGTAGTGATTGTCTATCTGTAGCTCTAAGTACGTGTGTGTGTAAGCCTGTAGAGTCTCAACAGGTGTTCTTGGAACAGGGAGCGGGAATTCAGAGCGTATCGTTATCTTGTTCTCTTGGAGAAGTTGTTTGTCTCTTACAGAGGCCGTCTGACAGGAGAGTTACAGGTACGCCGAAAGAGAAGAAAAGTGTTTTCAAATTTGGATCAATATCTGCCAATTTTGCAGATTTCTAATTTCTATCACTGGTCTCCAGGTTTTTTCCAATTAGCTATAAGCACTGTCTGATTTGTAACAACTCTGCTCACCAAAATCAACCCAGCCGGCCAGCTTGGTGGGGTTTTGAGCCACACTGACCACTTTCATCAATCATCGATACCCCAGGGCTCCGCCTAAGCCCATCAGCAGAAACCCTGTTGTCAAAGTTCTGAAAAGATAGATATCTTCAATATCCTCCAGGGACAGAGTGGCCAGGCACACGACGTGCCACTTCTCCCAACCGTCCATCATGTATCCAGCTGCAAACGTCCTTACAGGACAGTTAGGTTCCCCCGAACCCAGACTTCTCATTGAGAAGATGGTGTCAATTGCATTCAGAGACCAGTTGATCAAATCCATGATTCCTTATTTGTTTGTAGAGCAGGGCAAGGAGAGCCCCAGAGAAAGAATAAGACGAGACAAGAGGAGCCAGCCAGGAGAGATATGGGAGAGGAAAAAAGTGTGACCGCCTTCACCGAGAGCCAAAGAAGATCATATTTCCATTAACTCCTGAAATCAGTTGTATCTTCAATATAAACTCAAATGATTCTTCTAAACTGAATTATCTGAGCTGTGTCAACCACATTAACTTTGCATGTCTATTTGTCAAACTTTGCCTCATTTAGAGTTTTATTTATTTAAGGGAATTTTAGTAGAAATATTCACTCAAAAGAGGCCAAAAAGTAAATGCAATGTGGCCAAACCTTACTTTTCTAAAACACTTGTTAATACATTCACAGCCCATGCAGGAAACACTGGTTTGAATCCCACACCCAATGCTGGGAGTAAAACTGGAAGGGTCACATTGGTGCCATAACCCGGACAGGATTAAGTGTATAGGGGTGAGTGAAATAGAAGGCAGCCAGTAAGATCTGTGTGTGTAAACTTCACTCCCCTTTTATCAAAAGGCATTGACAACTAATATTAGAGGCTGCAGTCTTTAGTGTCTTTGCTTCCCATGCTGTAAATGCTCATTTGCAATAGGTTTGCATTAGTTGGCTTCAGCTGTGCTTACTGTCCTTGTTAGTGTATCCCCTAAAAACTCTGGTTCAAATCCCACTCTGTCCTCTTTGAGTACAACCAGAAGAGTTACAGTGGTGCCGTGACCCAGATGGGGCTAGTAATAGTATGTGTGATCTTACTCCCCTATTGTGATAAACACTGGAGGCTTTAGTCTTTAGCTTCATTGTTAGCACACTCTTCACATCCAGTGCCAGAAATCCACTTGTCTGAAATGCAACATTGCTTGTGTCCTCTTTTGTTACAGTGAGTCCTTACTCAATCTCTATCCATCAAACGTCTTTTAAGGTTTACCTCCTGTTCTTTTCTTGTTAGTCTCAGATAGAGTCTGTCACAGAGAAGGTATCAACAGTGCAGGGAATGATCCAGAGCAGACAGGCCTGCTTGAGGAAACTGGCTGATATTCAGGTCAGACCCATCCAGCTAGTCGCTCCGAGGCCTGAGACCTCCCCGCGCTGCAAATCTCCTCTATTCTCTCCTAAACACAGTATGTTTATCTGTCTCAAACACATGGTAAACATAACATCCCCGTTTGTTTTGTCTGAATATTTAATTTCTATTTTTGAAGGTTTTGACGTGAACTCCAGTTTAAGGTTTTCTTTCGATCTTGCTCTACCTGGTAAAAAGGCCTCACGGAAAGGTCCCAACACTAAGAAGGTTTGACCTATTGTCCTTGTTTATCTCAAAATTATACTGCGTCTACTTCTTGCTGACATCTTCAGAAATGTATTTCTGGCTCTTGTAGATAGAGGTGATGCACGACTATGAGGAAAACCGCAGCTGTCTGTCCTACGGTCCAGAGGGAGTCGAGAATCCCGACCAACATAAACGGTAAGCACTTATGCAATATCTTGACAAAAATGTGCTTATGAATCACGGAATCCTTCTCATCCTCCTTTCTTTGTCTGTCTTGCACCAGTCTCTTTCCCTTTCTGTCCTCATCTCTTTCTTCCCCTCTCTCCTCTGTTATTGCCCACGCATCCTTCGCTTCTGCAGCCGTGTAATGAAGGAGCTGATTGAGACGGAGAGAATCTATGTGGAGGAGCTGATGTCTGTTTTGCTGGTAATGTCTTGACCAAATGACCTTGAAGTAATTGGCCTGTGTATTGTTTTCTCTCATCCTATTTGCCTAACATCTGCAATGTTGTAGATGACCTCATGTAAATGCACTCATTTTGAAATCCCATCTTTGCTTTCACACTGTAGTTTATAGTGATACAGTGACTCGCAGCTTATAGTTATGTACATTTTTTCTGTTTTGCTGACATTTTCTGTAGAACCATTGGTAGAGACTGCTATTATATAAAAATAAAACTGTTATGACTCTGCACTGTGATGTAGGGCAGTGGTCTCCAACCTTTTTATCACCGTGGACCGGTCAACACTTGACAATTTTACAGCGGCCCGGGGGTTCGTTGGTTGCTGGGCGACCATCAACCATTTTCTCAGGAGATGAACAGCTGACAAAACATTTCTGAATCTCTGATACAAGTTTTATTTATGGAGAAAATTAAAAATAGTTTTTCTGAGTCAACCGAAATTTGTATATTCCATACAACATTTGAAGCTGATTGGTCAGTTTTTGTCACTTGACTTGCATGACTTCTAAAGATGCGCGTGCCTTCATTGAAAATAACGGACTTTCACGCGGAAAAGACGCAGTATGTGAACGGCTGTCATTTGCAATCTCCAGCAGTTGATCTCTTACACAGGCATGCAGGATTCACCCGATTTGTTGACAAATGGTTTGCGGATCCATTCCTTGGCAATTTGGTGATCCTTCACTGGGCCTTTTCCCCTTCGCAAAGAAACTTTCCAAAGATGTCTGTTTCTTACCCATTTTGCCGGTTGTAGGTTAAATTTTGGTTCTCAAGTGACCGAGATGTAAGCGAGAGAATACTGACATTTTTCAAAATAAAAGATCGTTCAGACTCAGATAATAAATAAAGCAGAAATAATTCATGGTTTCCTTTGAGGCCCAGTACCAACTCATCCACGTACTAGTACCAGTCCGCGGTCTGGGGGTTAGGGACCACGGATTTAGGGTACATTTAGAAAACAATGATGTAGGGCTGCATAATAATTTAAAATAAAATTGAGATTTAAATTCAGTAAAGCTGAGGTTCTCATGCACATCTTGTCAGGGAAGCACAGCTCTGTGATCAGTAGTAAAACTACTCCAAATTTGCTGCAAAGAAGAGAGATGAGATATGAGAGCAGTAGATTTAACTACTTTTACTGATTCAATGTGACAAATAAACACATAACTATGAAACTATCTCATAGAATGATTTATTTCAAACACTTGAAGGCGAGTTTGGAGTAAAAACACATTGTTAAATGTGTTATTTTAAAATGTTTTTAAATGTAGCAACACAGAGCCATAGTTCACTGTGTAGTGATGCAATGGCCTGTCTAATTGCAGAATGATTATTTTCCATTTCAGAATTGCACTTTTAAATTGTCCACAATGTTATGCATAGAGTGTCAGTGAATTTTGGCTCCATGTATTAAACGCTGTTCCAATAAAGCTGTACTGCTGATTACAGAGAGTTCTCTTTACTGCCAAAATTTGCATGCAAATCCCTTGCCATTAACTGTACATTCCAACAAATATGCACTAAAGGCAGATTGTTTTTAAAAATTTTCACAAAATTTTTTTGTGTTACAAAAATGACAGAACACACTATATTATGCATGCCAGGCCAGTAGATGTCACTCTGTAAAGCAACAGAGCATCTGTAGAGCACCTGTGCATGTATGGTCCTGTAGTCCACTATTGTTGTTTTAATTGTTTGATGCATGTGCATAGAATGAACATAACATAAATGTTCAAAATCTCACTATTTCCACATAATGATAATGATTTCAAAAAGTTTTCAAAAGCTTGTGTTTTTGGGTTCCCAGAAGGCTATTTTGGGTTCCCAGCTTCTGTTGGGGTGTTTGTGTAAATGAACTTTTCCAACTTAAAAGTCTAGTGAAGAAGGCGGAGACGGGAAGGAGGCAGGGCATGTCAGATACTATAGAGCATTTGATTGGTCATGATTTGATGAGAAACTGAAGTATGAGGTGAAGTAAAAAAAACTGTTGATCCATTTAGGCAGAAGTGAAAAACTTCAAGCTTTACATGTTTATATCTGCTTTATATTTTCTATACATATTTTTTGTCACTGTTTTGGTGCGCACTAGCTTATAGATAACCTAAAAACGAACAATACAGATAGTAATATCTAATATCTAAAAATTTTGTCATGATCATGTGACCTACCCACATGAGCTGCGTCGCTTCACTCGCATTCTCAAATTCTCTAGTGGGGCATCATGGGATAGCGCAGCGTCTATCTGATGCACACTTTAAAATCGCGCCGGAAGTAGTAGGTCATCAGGGTAATTCTCGCATATTGATTTTCGGTTTCTAACTCGTACACACTACTCGGCTCGCATACTGATTTTAGTGTACTAGATGATATGGAAGTATGCGATTTCGGAAGCAGCGATGTTGTTTTTGGCGTATTCAGTAGTTTGTTGTTCTCTGCTTCTTTTTCCAACTATGATACTTTGGCCTAGTTTGTGGACAAAATAAGTAATGCAAAATTAACTCAAAACACTTGGCTTCTGTGCATATGACATGTCTCACACTGTGTGCATACTATAGCGAGAGTACTTTGGGTCTTAAATTTTGCATATTTTTCTTTTACTGGATGGCAGGGTTACAGAGCAGAAATGGACAACCCGGCTCTCTCTAATATACTGCCATCTGTACTGCGAAACAAGAAAGAAGATCTGTTTGGAAATCTGCCGGAGATCTATAAATTCCACAGCAGGTGAGAAATGTGCCCACAACCCTCCAATACACACACACACACACACACACATTTGTGCACACATTCACGCATTCATGCTGACTTTGCTTTGTTGCGCAGGATATTCTTGCAGGACCTCGAGAGCTGCTTAGAGACCCCAGAGAGAGTGGGTGCAAGATTTCTGGAAAGGGTGAGCCAGCTGGATTTTTGAATATTTTCTGCCATAATTTTTAAGTACATTTCTTTTCATTGCATCACAACCGACATTCATTATTATTATTGGGTACTACTTAATACTTAATACCCTCTCATAATATTTTTGGCAGAAGGAACATTTTCAGGTTTATGAGCGCTACTGCCAGAACAAGCCTCGCTCAGATGCCCTCTGGAGGCAGTGTTCAGATTCAGCCTTCATCCAGGTATTACAGTGTGTATTTTTGTTTTTATCACACAATAACAGCTGATTGACATTATTACTAATCGGACAAGCAGATATTCATACTGATAGATGGTGATTGTTGGAATTTTTATTTTAGGACATTCAGAATATTTGTCTTTTTTTAACTGTTATTTAGCTAATTTGCTTCTACTTCTCTTATGCAGGAGTGTAAAGGGAAACTGGATCATAAATTGGGACTGGACTCATATTTGCTGAAACCCGTTCAACGTTTAACCAAATACCAGCTTCTTCTAAAGGTGCAAACATAAGAATAAACTAAGAGTTCATTTGCACAACAGAAAGAAACTATATAAACGAAATACCTTTTTATGCAAATCCACAAAAGCAACTATAAACTGTATAATGCCAGGCCAGTACATGGCGATATCACTTTATTATTATTATTTTTTAAATACTAACACACATACCTATAAACTTAACACTCAGCAGAGACAGTCATTTTGACCTTTTTTTAATATTGCAATTCATTAAAATACACTACTATACTCTGACTTTTCCTAAATCTGTGTCTCATTAGTTCAAACATTGTTATTTTTATTAAAATTACAAAACACATATACATTCTGAGTATTTCTACCTTGTATGATTAAACTGGCCGCAAGCATTTCAGTGAACTTTTCCCGTGCCATTGCATATGTGTGCCTCTCTTGCCTAGCAAAGTTCTGCTAACAAAAACATGACTTTACTTCCGACTTGTCTTTTAAAAAGGTGAAAAAAACTTTGCTTGTTGGACAAAATGATCACACACACCTTCGGGGGCAGTCTGGTAACTCATACACTATTATAGGCTATATATTTTTAAAAATCCTATTTTAAAGGTAATGACTTATGTAATATAAAATATGATGACATTTTTAAATTTTTATTCAAAAATTTCAATAGAAACTTCAGATATAAAGATGAAGTAACAAAAGTTCAAAATTCAGTACGGCACAGTCTAACAGTATATTAAAGATCTGAAGGACCCCTATTGGCCAGCCTAGTAGTTACAGAATTGACCCTTCGCTAAGCCACACCGGAAAAAGCGCTACCCACCAATCGTGGCTTAGCAACCGTAGCTACGTGCAGGGGCTCTGTCAAGCTTTCGAGCAAGGGAAATAAGCCAAAGCGTTGTGCATATGAATTGTGCAAATCTGACACCCGGTATCCTTAAAGTTTGGACAAGGTGGTGGAATTTTTTCCCTTTTCAAAACCAAAAACCTGAAATTCCAGTGTGGATCTGTGAGCTCTGTGAGGGGCGCTAAAGGAGCGGAGCTAAGTTGGTTTTCTTTTCGATATTCACATTCAGTGATAGACCGACGGCAACAATTCACACACCTCCTCCCTTAAAAAGATCCTAACTGTTTCCTACAAAAATACAAAGTAGGTTATGTTTCCCAGCTGTCTTTTTCTTTTTTCCGCTCGATATCATGAGCACTGCTCCGTTTAAGCCTTCACCATAGTAGTCATACTAATAGCAGTCATATTTCCATCTGTTTCAAGCTACGAAAATTACATATCAACAGAACAAAACCGAGATGTGATCACAAACTGAGCACTTGCGATCAATATACTATATTAGTGTATATATATATATATATATATATATATATATATATATATATATATATATATATACATACACTAATATTGGCTAGTAGGGAAAATCTATTTGTTTACTTCTGCTATTTCTTTCACTTAACCGCAAATTAGAATAGAAACTGGATAAAGAGCACACAAACATACTGACTGTAATAGGTACTATACATTGTAATATTTGCCACAAATCCATCAGTTTCCCCTTTCTGCCTGCCCTTTCTGTGAATTATGAAGAAGCACTGTCCATGCGTGTTTCCTCGTCGGTTAGTAACGCTGTATTTGATTGCACAACAATAGTCTATCAGGCTTTTTGGCTAAAAAAAAGAGAAATCATGGTTTGATTAGTTATTATTAGATTATTTTTAAACTTTACCTTTTCTGCTTTGCATGAACTAAGCTGTTGTATGGTTAGCGTATGAGGCGGCTAGGCTAAGCTAGCTTAAATTTTAATTCAATTATTTTCTAATCAGTTGCTATTATGTGGTGAATATACCCCTGTAATGCATGCTGCAGTCCTTTTTTGTCTGGCTTTCTCAGATATATCACCTGTTCGCCAAAAATGACTAATTATATCCCTGGGAAAGTCTGACACCGGTGCATACACACTGTAATACATGTGCCCGGCACGAAAGCATGATAGCCGTAGCAACAGTACCTAAGGAGGGCGGGGCTTAGCGAAGGGTCGATTCTAGTGTTTCCAGCGTTAATACATTGCATACATGCCTATGACATCTTTTTCACAAAATCATATTTTCTAGTTTATGATGATAAAGGAACTGATCTACATAACCTGTTTTCAAAAGTTGCTGCTCGCCAAAAAAAGTTGTGTAAACGAACCACCAAAATGGCTAAAGATTTTAATTTTTAGTATGGTGTCCTAAATGGTTCCTGTATCTCTTACCAGGAACTACTGAAGCACAGCTCAAACTCTCAGTATGCATCTGAGCTGCAGGGGGCACTAAATGCCATGCTGGATCTCCTCAAGTCCGTCAATGACTCCATGCATCAGATTTCCATTACCGGTTATGAGGTGCGACCAACAAATAAAAAATAAAATAAATATAATAAAGTCAATAAAATATATTTCTGAAATATCTAAACCTGCTTTTCTAAATGTTCTTTGAATCTAGGGTGAACTGAGTGATTTGGGTCGCGTCCTTATGCAGGGGTCTTTCAACGTCTGGATCAACCACAAGAAAGGCCCAACACGCATGAAGGACATGGCACGCTTTAAACCAATGCAAAGGCACCTGTTTCTTCATGAAAGAGCTCTGCTTTTCTGCAAGAAGCGAGAGGAAACGGGAGAAGGACATGACCGGACAGCTTCTTACAGCTTCAAACACTGCCTGATGGTGAGAGAGAATGAGAGCCAACATTTAAAGTTCCAGTGAAATCAAAATTTGAGTTTTTGAGGTGTTATTATCATTATGTTAAAGTCTTAATGAGGAAGTTCACCCAAAACTAAAAATTTGTCTATCATTTACTCTGAGGTTTGAGGGTTTTTTCTGTTCAACACACAGTAACAAGTTATTTTGATGAATACTGGAAACTTGTATCCATCCATAGTATTTTTTCCTTACTATAAAAGTCAATGGTTACAGGTTTTCAGCTTTCTTCAAAAAAAAACTTTGTGTTGAAGAAGAAAGAAACTCATAAAGGTTTATAATCCCTTAAGAATAATGAATGAATACATAAGTAAATGGTGAGTAAATGTTCATTTTTGGGTGAACAATCCTTTTTAAGGCAATCTATAAATTAGTGTGCTCTAAAACAAATTTTGCTTTTGGAAGATATAAACATTCAATTCTTTAGGTTTTGTCACTTTCGTCAAAACAAATCAACACTTTTTCGAGATGCTCAAAGGTCAATGCATAGGAGAAATTGGCTTTTAAAGTGTAAGCTTAGCAAAGCCTACAGTGAACCAAATTTAGGGACTACAAAAAATACATCCTGGTTAACAAAATCATAAACCTTTCAGGTTATGCACATACACCAGGTGCAGCAAAGGTGAGTGGCCACAGGTGCTGTAATGTTATAGCAGAGAAAGCTAAAATGCCATCCAAACACAGCTATTTCCATAGGGCATGTTCTGTTTCTGTATTTGGGCTTCCAAAGGACATGACACAAAGAGAGAAGTGCTAATAATTAAATTTTTTTTAGTTATGTTTCAGAGAATTATAAAAATATATATAGCTAGCATTTGACAAAGAGCAGCTTCCAGAATCTCCCTCGGTTCAGTGCTCGATTTGGCTAAACATTATTCAAAAAAGGAGCAGTTCCGACCAATTAGACAAAGCTGTGGATTGTAAGCCACAACCTGCAAGTATTTTTATTTGTTAAAACCAGAGATGGGAAGTAATGAAGTAAGATTAAGTAGATTCTTCTGGTATCAGTACTTTACTGCACCACTTATTTTTCTAACAACTTTTTACTTTTACTTCTTGCATTTTTACACAAATATCTGTACTTTTTACTCCTTACATCTTTTAACCCACAGTCGTTACTTTCATTTCAGATGTCACTTTAAACGGTGTGTACAGAAGCTGATCTGGGATCAGTTTATTGTAGGGAGTGCGTCTGTCAGTCAGCACTTATACATCCATTCACTGGTTAAGAGGTTGCATATGAAATGCGAAGATCGACGCACAGCTACAACGTAAAGAAAGTGAATGCAGACATTTTAATATTAATTTCAGCGTGTTTTTAAGATTAAAAATATATCAGAAATATGGGAAAATACATAAGGATTGGAAGAAAGTAGGATAGAATGGTAAAATACGGGCGAATTTCGGCAAAAAAGGCAGGGTTTACATGAATGAAGTGAACAGGAAGTGTATGTGGAGAAACAGTTTTGCAAGATAATGCAAACCATCTTAGCGATGGAACGCAAAAAAACAACAAAAATTTTTTTTCTATCACTACTATACTAAACTATCAGTTTTTTTTTCTTCCACCAATTTTTTTCCCTACCATCACATCCCTTCCGGGTCTCCGTAACAACCATACCTGTTTTTGTCCAAATAAGCATATTTTTTTAAATCCGGTTGTTCATTTGTATCTAAACCAACCAACTTTGTTATGATTTTTAATTTTTTTTTTACATGTAGAAGTTGTTTATGCACCTATTTGTTTATTGCAGCCCTATTTTAAGTGTGCTCAAAGAGATTGATATTTTGATGAAAAGGGTTTTTATGCTCTACTCAAATTCCACTGGCAGTTAAAAACCCAGAAGGCTATTAAAATGCAGCAATTATGAATGTGAGATCTTTGACATCTCTGGTGTCATTTGCAGATGAGTGCGGTCGGTATCACAGAAAACGTCAAAGGGGATGTAAAGAAGTTTGAGATTTGGTACAATGGAAAAGAGGAGGTGTATGTTGTTCAGGTGAGTCATTTTAGCAAGGTTAAACCTCCACAGAGTGCAATGCATGAAAAGTTTGGAGTGCCTCTGTCATCGCTTATTAACGCCTCTTCACTGCTTAGAACTCAGAAATTGCTTGTTCACAGTCAATGCTGATGCAAAATCCTGAACACAGATTTGTTTGTAGATTTTGCAGAAAGGAAAATACGCAAGTTTTTAAAGTTTTTTATGAGTTTTTTTTTTATGAGATAAGGTATATATACATTTAAGGTGAGAATTATTAGCTCCCCTTTGATTTTTTTTGTCTTTTTTTAATTTTTTATTTTAAATATTTACAAAATGATGTTTAACAGAGCAAGGAAATTTTCAAAGTATGTCTGTTAATATTTTTTCTTTTCGAGAAAGTCTTATTTGTTTTATTACAGCCAGAACAAAAGCAGTTTTAAATTTTTTAAACACCATTTTAAGGTCAATCAAATTTATAAAGATTTGTGGAACATCTTATCATCCTTAGATGTTGCTCATGGGAAATTTTTAAGCACAAATTAACAATGCCTTGAAGACTATTCTTGTATTTATAGACAGTGAGGAAAACCAGCAAATAAAGTAAAAGGACAAAATACTTCAATAAATGAATTGTAAAAGGTCTTAAGAATAACTTTAATCTCTTCAAACTGTCTGTATGTCCTGATTGCCTTATTTTTCAGGCACCAACTGTAGATGTGAAGATTGCATGGCTCACAGAGATAAGAAAAATCCTTAACAATCAGCAAAAGACTGTCAAAGGTTTCTACACTGCACCTCCATTCCTGTTCACATCAGTGCTGAATTTTTTTTTTCATTAAATCAGTCTTGTTCAGTGGGTCACACTCTACCTTTGTGTTTCTCAGGAGATTCTCAGCCAGACAGAGAGCAGCCTTTATCTCCACCACTGGCTGACAGGTGATCCTCACTGTAACCCACGTTTCCTTTTTACAATATCTCCTTTAGTATAGATGTAAAATGTGTTCGTCAGCATTCATGTTTGATCTTGACACAATAACTACAGATTCAGTTTTCACACACTGTATGCTTTTAGCCTGTCTGCATGATGGATATAACACTACTCAGAATCATACTGGCATGAAAAACACTTTCTCAAGTGCGCTTTCTCTTCGTTCGTGAAACCTGTTTGATGGAAACATTTGGTTTGGACTTCGAAGAACCAATTGTAAAATGCTATGTGCAGGAAAATGTCTAAAAGTTTGGTCTCATCTACTATTGCATGCCGAAATATTGCTGTTGGGGGAATCTTGTTATAAGGACCTGGCAACCCAGTTTATCTGTCGTTGCTGGCATTTTCTGGTTGTATAGCAGTTGCATTACTGATCATCATGTTTAAATTATCCTTGCTTTTTTTATAACATTTGGCATGTTAACTAGATAATTGGTGAAAAAAGGGTTGTCAGGTGCTTGTAATTATAAAGTAGTTATAAAACTAACAGACAGGAAACATTTAACAACTGCCCAACAAACACAGTTACGTTGTAGCGATGTCTGCACAACGTTGTATTTTTTCAAAGGCAACGTTGCCGCTTACGTGCTCGCTACATTGTCACAACGTAGAAATGTAAGACGTGAGAAGGCTGTAGCAACGTTGTCGTGCGACATTCAGCAACCGCGAGGCGGCGTTCTTACTACTTGTATTAATATTTTTTGTGGCAGTTTATCAATACTGCCTAGAATACAGGATAAGCAGCAATTCTTTTCCAGTATTGCTTAATATGAAATATTGTTCATTTATTTTTCCTATTTAATTTAACAATTGCATGTGTAAACTTTAAAGTGTTTAAAATAACACACAAATGAATATAATCAAACTTTTTATTATATATTTCACAACATTTAATACATACAGTACACATCTAATTATAAGCAAACAGTATATGTTTAGAGTATATGTTTAGATTATATATATATATATATATATATATAATTAAACTAAAGGGTAAACAAACAAGAAAAGTAAACAAGAAATCATTAAAATGTAAATATACATATAAATAAATATATAAATTAAAATTCAGACACTGGGCAGTGAAGCTCTGGACTGGAGAATACAGCAGACCGGGGAGCGCAGCTGAAGACCAGTCGTAGTTGTTGGTATGGAGAAAGCAGTCAGAGGAAGAAACAAATCCAACAGATAATCCAGCTTCAGAGATCCACAGCAGACACAAGTCAAAATAGGCAGTGAACAAGAGAGGACAGATGGAAACAACTATGACTAGCAAGTTATTGAAGTTTCAGACATTTATTGTAATTTCATTACATATAAAATATCCAGTGAGTAATTATGTAGCCTACTTTATTTTATTGCTTTAATATATCATATACCAAAATTACATACAATTAAATAAATTTAGAGATACAGGGAAAACAGGTTTGAGTTAACAGAAGTCAGAGTTAGTCTCCCAATACTTACTTAAATTATGAGAAGAGAAAGTAGAGGTCCTATAGTTGTGGCGTTGCTCGCTGTAAATGGAATGTTAAAATTAGTGTCATTTCAATAACAGCTGTACAAAATAATAAAGTAATTTTTCATAAGCATGATCTATTTTCCACATTATGAACATGCTGTTTTAGGTAACAATACTACATTTATTATGATAGTAAATAGAGTAGTATACTTCTTACCTCATTCAATTATTCTTTCCATAGATCAGGAATTACAGCAACACTGATCTGAGGTGAATTCAACAGCTGAAAAAATTCTGAAAGACAAGTTACATAAGTAATTTGAAAACAACAGTGAGTGGTTAAACAATAGAGTTTTATGCAACTTACACATACTTAAAATCCAGAAATTATCAATAGAAGATTACCTCCATGTGAAAATAGCCTGTTGAGCAAAGAAAAGATTGGGTTTTAAATAAAACATCAAAAGATAAATCAAAATAGAAATTTAGACTAGCAGACCTTTTTATTAATATCTATATTAATCAGGCATATGAACATCAACTTATATACTTTAACTTATAGGGATAGCTCACCCAAAACTGACAATTCTGCCATTTAGCCTCATCCTTTATTTGATCCAAACTTATTTAGCTTTTTTTCTGCTAAACAATAAAAAAGATGTATTAAATAAAGCTGGAAAACTGTAACTATTTAATTCCATAGTGTTTTCCTACTATGAAAGCAAATGCTTACAGTCTTTAGTGTTCAATAGAATAAAGAAACTTAAAGGTTTGGAATCACTTAGGCTATTATTTACAGGGCAAATAATTCGTGAGTACATATCATTTTTGAGTGAACTGTTCCTTTAACGGGACGCAAACTGCACAGAGATGTTTTGTATTTAAAAGTTATTTTTTGTGTTTTGTAAAAAGTGGGTCGGCTCGTGTGATAAAGTATCAGACTGATCACTATGGATATGGAAAAAACTGAACTTCAAAAACATTATTTTCCATTTGACTAAAGACTAAGCGTAGGTAAATAATCAGGAAATGTTTTATCGAAAGATTTAACATAATGATTTTAATGTTGTTGCCGTCCGTGAACGGAATGCTGAAATGTTACTCGCTCGTAATAACTTCATTACGGCTTTTGTGTGTGTGTAATGTTGGAACAGATTGTTGTCGAAATCGTAGGTTTGTTTGAATATTCACGATTTACGTATCTTATTTAGCAAGAAGAAATAAAACAATACTCACGTCTCCTCGGTCGTTGATGAATGAGACGACGGCTTGTTGAAATTTAAACTGATTCAGCTGTGACCAGTAAATGTTGTACAGTGGTCGTCCACGCCACCCAAGCACAACCTAAAGTATGCGGCCCTCGTGATGTTTAAATGGCAACCTTATGACATCGTTGTGACAACGTTTAGCAACAACGTAGAATCCTCAACCTTTTTGCAAGGTTGGTACAACGTTGTAGGAAGGTCGCTACGTTGAGGCAACGTTGTGTGTTTGTTGGGTGCAAACTCGATTTCATGTAGAAGACTAGAGGCATAAATCACCCAAAAATTAAAATTACCTCATCATTTATTCTCCCTCTTGTGGTTTTAAAACTTTATGCGTTGCTTTCTTCTATTAAACAGAAAAAGGAGATATTTTGAAAAATGCTGGTTGTTGGGACCAACTGACTTCCATAGTAGGAAAAACACTATAGAAGTCAATGGCTGCCAGTTACCAGCATTCTTCAGAATATCTTCTTTTGTGTTCAACAGAGGAAAGCAACATATAAATGAATACATTTTGAACAGTTGAACAATGAGTAAATGATGACAAAATTTTCAGTTTTGGGTGAACTATGAATTTTCTGTTCCTTTGACTTTTTGCTGTCTGTCTGGACAATTTTAGTGTATTTCTGTTAGTTCTTTTGTGTATTTTAGTTTTGTAGTCCTTTTGGTTTGCTGGTTCCCTTCATTGTATTGTCAGGTGTTTCTTTCTTCCTTGATTATCTCAAAAATTGAAAAAAAGGAGCATCCAAACTAGGAGTAAATAAGAAAACATGAGCGATGACAACAACCAGCAAGCAGGGTTTCCAGGTTATATTAACAAAACCTGATGAGCATAAAAGCCTAATTCTTGTAAAAAAAATGAGTACTTCGCAAAACAGCTGACAAGGGTTGAGTCGATAGACAATGCCATCTTCTATCGCCGATCGCAGTCCCCGGTCGCAGACCCCCTTGCAAAAAATACACACTTAGGCCCCATTTACACTTTTAGAATGAAAACCATCCTGGTCCACACTGGCGTTTCATCTAGCACAGTCACACAGTCATGCGCTTGTCTGAGCTCAAGGCAATGCTTTGAGCACAAAACTTCAGAGAGCAGTGCACGTCGGTACAGTTTTTCAAGGATGTACCGCTAGATCGCTATTGTTGTCAAATGTGATATTTAATTCATCTTGTCCCTACTGAAAAATCCAGCCTAAACCAGCCTAGGCTGGTTTAAGCTGGATTTTTCTGCAGGGGTCTCTATATAAAAACTCTTCTGTCTTTTTAATCTATCAGGTAACATGTCAAAGTGTCAGTACAATGCTTTAATCTATCGATTTCATGCGTGCACTTTGTCATTTTAGCGAAAACCTCAGATACTGTTGGTTGGTCCCTGTTGGTTGTGCCAACCAAGTTTGTAAACACCCTTATAACGACACAGATCACTCTGCCTATTCATGCCAGAGTCCTGCAGAAAAAGCGATTGACAGGCGGTAATTTGTGTGTAACTTATCTTTATTTATTTATGATTTGGTTATGGGTAAAACAAAGACCATGCAAAAGTTGAAAGGGTCGGCTACAAATAATTAATTTGTTATAATTAATTCACCGCCGCCTACGAAGATGATGCCATCGTCCATCATGATGTTTCACATTAGATATTGTTCAATGCCAAATTGGTCGACATCGCCCAACCCCACAGCTGACAAAGACTGATTAACCAAGATAAACAATGTGTAATTCATACACAGCTTCTGAAAAAGCAATAAATAAAAGATAATACCCCAGGAAATGGTCAACTGATACTGATATTTTTTCAGTGTATTTACAGTCATGTAATTCCTTGCCAAATTAGTTTTTTGCATTTGAAATTTTTTTTATAAATAAATATATATATATATATATATATATATATATATATATATATATATATATATATATATATATATATATATATATATATAGCTTCCTGTTGTCCTGAGTTTGAATCCCAGCTCACTGGCCTTTCCTGAACACCCTTACACAACCCAACTTCACTTCCTGTCCAGCTACTGTCCTATTGTAATAAAGGCAAAAACGCCAAAAATAATAACTTACTTAAAGCAATGAGCTAACTAACTAATGAGCAAATGTCTGTTTGTTTAAACTCATTATTCTTTAAACTCGAACAAAATCAATAATCATAAGAATATGACTACATTTGTGAAGTTATCTGAAGCACGTGGCACTTTACATTTGGCATCAAGGATTTCTTTGAATGTCATCATGTTATTCAATGGAATACGATTGCGGTCGACGCCATCTTAACTCCGCTAATAATTCTGAATGTACAAATGAAATGTAATTTACTGGCTCTCATTTCATTACCATTGGATTTATTTGCCACTTTCACTGTTGACTGCAGTCCTGTTCCAGAATATCCGGTTTTCGACGACGTTTGATGGTTGTTGTTGTTGTTGTTGTGTTTTTGCCCTGTGCTCTTCGTTTCCGCCGGGTTCATCGGTTGGTGGTGGGGTCAGTGTGAGGCATATTTCCGTGTGCATGCCCTGGAGTGCCACACAGATCACTGGCTGCTCAGGTTGTTTTGATGTCCTTCCTCACAGCAAGCACCAGGGGGCGTCCGTCAGCTCGGAGGAGGCCGATTCAGGCCGCGTGAGTCCGGTTCTGACAGATCCAGTCATCATTTCTCCGCGTCCCAGAAACCACAACCGTCGCAGTGAGTCAGAGGCCACTTTCACTGGCATTTACTTTGGCTGATGAAGGGAGCTGGAAAGTTCACTGCGCTGTCAAGCATAATGGGTTTTGGAATGGGATTTTCAATATGTGATATGTAAATCGTTGGCACTTGTTTGCACAAAAATGAATGCTATTATTGCAATGCATGTCGTTATAGTTGGGGTGGTTATGTGTTGCAGGCTGGCCGGGGACTTCTCATTCTGTGGACATCTGTGAGGGTCTTGAAGACTGGACCACTGATCTCTCCAACATCTCAGATTCGGATGAAGAAGACGATGTGCTGCTGGTGAGCTTGGGGCTTTTTATATTCCTAAGATTTACAGTTATTTTAGAGAGAGTGAATACCAATTGGGCTACATACATCCAAAAGCAATAAACACAGTACTGTCATGGCATACAGTGCAGAATCAGCTGTTTTTTTTTCACAATTCATGTGCTCAAATAACTGTTTTCTCTAAAACCCTCCTTTCAGTGAGCTTTAATTTGCCCTGATTAGTTAGATTGCTGTTGTGACCTTGTATTTTGGCTACTTTTGTGGTTATTAAGGTTCCTGGAAGATACAGAGCAATGTTGGACCACCTAAAGTGTGGAAAGGATGATGTAATCATCAAATGTGGTGATGTCATTCACGTTCTGCAGGAGAGTGTCATGGGGCTTTGGTGAGTCATTTTAAAGATTTTTTAAAAGTTTGTATTTATTAAAGATAAAGGTCTGTGCGGCGCGGTAGCACAGTAGGTAGTGCTGTCACCTCACAGCAAGAAGGTCACTGGTTCAAGCCTTGACTGTTAGTTGGCATTTCTGTGTGGAGTTTGCATGTCCCCGTGTTCACATGGGTTTCCACCAGGTGCTCCGGTTTCCCCCACAAGTCCAAAGACATGCGGTGCAGGTGAATTGGGTTAGCTAAATTGTCCGTAGGATATGTGTGTGAATGAGAGTGTGTGGATGTTTTCCAGTAATGGGATGCAGCTGGAAGGGCATCTGCTGCGTAAAACATATGCTGGATAAGTTGGCGGTTCATTCCGCTGTGGAGACCCCTGATGAATAATAAAGGGATTAAGCCGATAAGAAAATGAATGGATAAAGGTCTCCATTACTTACCATTGGAAAACCTGTAATGCTAACTTGGCCATGTTAAGCATGTCTTCACACAGCGGCTTTTAGTCTCTTTCCCTGCATACTGCCATAGAGGCAATGTTAGCATTAGCTATTTCGCTTTAGGCTAAAGGTTTCAGGCTTGCCTTCAATAGGCTTTGCAATAGAAAAGGAATAGGCTCACAAACACTTTGACAAACTCTTTTATGTTTTTATTTTAGAAAAAGTACATATTTAGAATATTACCCATGGTGAACATTTTCATGATGGAACAAATGACAAAAGGATGAATTTAAATTATGTTAAACCTTGAAATCAGACATAAAACCTTGGACTCCTTATGGTTCAGAAGTGATTAGCATAAAAAATATTTAAGGACCATAGCAAATTTGCACTGCTGGTAAAGGACTATATATATATATATTACTTGCAATCAGAATTATTAAACCCCCTGAATTATTAGCCCACCTGTTTTTTTCTCATTATTTTTCTCAGTTTCTGTTTAATGTAGAGAAGAAAACAACTTCTAAACATGATAGTTTTAATAACTCATTTCTATTAATATTATTAATATAATTTTATCTTTGTCATGATAACAGTAAGTAATATTAGACTAGATATTTTTCAAGACACTTCTACAGCTTAAAGTGACATTTAAAGGCTTAACCATGCTAATTAGGTTAACTAGGCAGGTTAGGGTAATGAAGCAAGTTATTGTATAATGATAGTTTGTCCTGTAGACTATAGAAAAAAATATAGCTTAAAGGGGCTAATAATATTAATTTAAACCAATTAAAAATGTATATATATAAATATCCATCCTCTTATTGTGTGCAAAATTGTAAAGAAAAAATTTTAAATTAAAAAAAGCCTACTGTTCAAACAGACTACATCACATTAGCAGTTTTAGTGATTTACTGCTGTGGAATTTTTGACTGACACCCAATAACTATTTAGATTTAAAGGCTGATATATTAGCTGATAAATAAAAAAAAGTAATAAAAAGCATAAAAAATCAACCATGTCACTGAACATTAACCAATCAAAGTCAAAATACCAGTAAAATTATAAAACATTGGGTGGCAGAAAGTGGTTCAATCAGCAGAAAAAATATGAAGTTTATTGACTTAAAGATACTGGGCTAATTTTGTTATCAGACTGATAAGATAAGTGAAGTTTAATAAACTAATTTCGAGAGGAGCATGTGATATGATTGAGCACGACTGGCTGCTCATCTGTAATCATTAATAATCTAATCAGAGTGATCCTAGTTTACAATAAATGGTTTCTCCTTACTGCTCTATCTTTTGGAAGTAACCCCCCTTCCACCCCATCTCCTCCTTTTCCTCCATTTTCCAAGGGGGAGCTCTCGAGACCTACCTGATCTCAGATCTCCCGATATGTTTATTTGACCGGGCGGGAGCCTTGGGCTCAAATATCTCCGAGCTCAGGGTTCTCTCCCGGGACAGCATGCCAAACCTGCTATTAACGCTAAGCATATCTAGATGGGAACTCTTGAATGATAACTTTAAAAATAGCATCAGCTGATAACGATATAGCCGTGAATATATCGCACATCCCTAATAATAATAAAACGAACAATTACCTAACAGATGCCTATGACTAGTGTTAAATCACTGTAATCCTGTAATTTCAATCAATCATTGTTGTGCTGTAATGCCCACAGGCATGTTAAGAATCTGACTCGAGGAGGTGAAGGAAAACTCCCCGTCGACACACTGCTGAGAATGCTGGGAGATGCAGGCAGAAGCCCCTCCATTCAATCTGGAGGTGGGATTGTGAGTAAATACGAAAGATGTTGAATGTTTCATTTTCAAGAGACAAAACTAATCATCCCATTGTGCTGTTACGCAGCGTCTATCTCTGAGCGCACTTGTGTGTTTTCTCATAGGTGCGGGAAATATAAACAGCAGGAAGCCCAGCAACACCTCAGTACATCCACCACATGTACACAAAGCTTCCACCATGTGACAGCCCTAAAGGCCATTACTGTCATTCAGGACTTGAGCCCAGTCACGCCAACCTGACGCACACAAACACACACCAAGTCAGGAAAACAACCGTCTGCTCCAGAGTAAGTTTCCATCTGCCATCAGTGGGGATTATGTATGGATTTAAAGACAAAAAATATCTCTTCTCCAATGAGCCAATGACACCATCTAGTTACTACAACAACAAAATGTGGAAATAAAAGGAGCTTTGCAAACTGTACACTGATCCACTTCATCCCTGGAAAGTACTTCATCACCGTACTGTGCCATTACACACCATAGGAAACATGTATTTGTGTAGTTAGCACAGTGTTTCACTGAATAGTACTACCAAAAGGCTTACGGGATGGGGCTTTGAGAAGTATTTTTTGCCTTTTTGGATGGATTTGATGATTGGACACTTGTTTAAAAATCGTCTATTTTAATGCTGAAAGGAATGCCAGAGCTTCAGTGAATGAAAGATAAACTCACATCACTAACTAGTCTAACGTGCCAAAACCTGACATTCCATTTGCAGATCACCTGCTTGGGTTTCACTCTTTGTTTATTTTATTCTTCTTATTTCTTCTTAAATCACTTCATCAACAATAACTTTCCATAACAGTTCCATAACACATCTATAGTATATGAATGTATTTTTTGGAATATTGCATAAAAAAGGCTGAAAATAGATGCGCAGAACTTCATAAAAAACAAAACCAGCTGAAAAATGTTTTAATACTTAAACTGTGTTGGAAACTACACTCACCGGCCTCTTTATTAGGTACAACTGTCCAACTGCTCATTAACAGTAACTCAAATAACCACTTGTTACTACCGAGGTATGCACAAGAGCATCTCTGAACGCACAACATGTCAAACCTTGAGGCGGATGGGCTACAGCAGCAGAAGACCACACCGGGTGCCACTCCTGAAGAACAGAAAACTGAGGCTACAATTTGCACAGGCTCACCAAAATTGGACAATAGAAGACTGGAAGAACGTTGCCTGGTCTGATGAGTCTTGATTTCAGCTGCGACATTCAGATGGTAGGGTCAGAATTTGGCGTCAACAACATGAAAGCATGGTTCCATCCTGCCTTGTATCAATGGCTCAGGCTGGTGGTGGTGTAATGGCGTGCAGGATATTTTCTTGGCAAATTGTGTCAACGCCACAGTCTACCTGAGTATTGTTGCCGATCATGTCCATTACTTTATGATCACTGCGTACCCATCTTCTGATGGTTACTTCCAGCAAGATAATGCACCATGCAATCTCAGACTGGTTTCTTGAACATGACAATGAGTTCACTGTACTCAAATGGCCTCCCCAGTCACCAGCTCTCAATCCAATAAAGTACATTTGGGATGTGGTGGAACGGGTGATTCGCATCTGATAAATCTGCAGCATCGGCGTGATGCTATCATGTCAGTATGGACCACTGTCTCTGAGGAATATTTCCAGTACCTTGTTAAATCTATGCCACAAATGATTTAGGCAGTTCTGAAGGCAAAAGGGAGCCTAACCCGGTACTATTAAGGTGTACCTAATAAAGTGACCGGTGATTGTAAATTTGTCTATGCAAAAAAAAAAAACCAACAACAAAAAAAAACGAGTGGTTTCAGCAGATAAAGTGACATCATAACTACTTAATCACTAGATCGATTCAATGCAGTCTAACTTGAAAACATGATTAATTTCTGTTTTTTTAAATGGGAAATTATGTCATTTGTACAGAAATGTACAACTTTGCAAAAGGAGGACCACCCTGAAACCCACCCCCAAACACAGCATTCAGCGTGAGTGTGAAAAGATTGCATATAAATGTACGAATCGGGTTCATATGAATTAGCCACTAAATTACAAAGCTACTAAATATTGTTTCAGCGATTCGTCCGTCATAAAAATGATTTGATAAAAATGATACCTTCCAGAACCGTCCTCGCAAATAATTTATGCAATATGCCAAATTTAGATGGAAACAAAGCTATTGGGATTTATTGCTTCACTTCAATGTCTAAAACACGCTGTTCATCTTCAGATGATCCACATTTATATTTCTATTGACTTTACGTCAGATTAAATATGGCTGTTTTTACTGCTTTTCTGTTTTTTTAGTTACCAAAGTTTTTCTGTATGGGATAGTAGAAGTAGCTTAATTCATTTTGAATGCTTTAAAATTAGTATTATATATAGTTTTTTTTTTTTTGTTTTTTTTTTGACTTTGGGTCTGTTTTTGTCATTGAAATGAAACTTTGCTCTGTGGTATACATCAATATAATGGCCACTTTAAGCTTTTCCATTTCATCATTTTTTAATCAACTTACAGTATTCCCAATCCATTCCTGCACTCACAATGTGCACTTAACTTTGTTAACAGCTTTTGAGGTGAATGTGCAAGATGTCAAAAACTATTTCACTAGTTGGCATCATAAAAAAAACTGCAATGAATAAATACACCACTGTTCCAAAGTTTAGGGGTCACTACATTTTATTTATAAATGAAAACAATTTGAGCAAGAATGTGTTAAATTGATCAAAAGACACAGCAAAGATATTAGTACTTTTACTCTTTTTAATTTAAAAGCTGTTTTTTTTAAATTATTTAGAATAGTTTTCACACAAAAAATTAAGCAGAAGAGATGTTTATAACATTTATAATAATATAAAGTCATATTCCAATGACTTCTGTAAAATCACCTGACACTGAAGACTGAAGTAATACTTTTAACATTTAAAAGATTCAAAAGATCACAGTTATTTTAGACAATAATACTATTTTTCTGTTTTACTGTATTCTGATCAAATTAAGAAATAGCTTATGTGATGATAAAAGACTTTCAAAAATCTCACATACCCCAAACTAGTGAACAGTAGTGTATATGTGCATGTCCTGTTTAAAGAGGGGGAATAATAATGATAGAGAAAACTGGATGCGGTCTGAACGAGTCTCTTGCGTGCTTCAATTTAAAGTACGCTTCTTAAAGCCATACACTTCTAGTGTATAATATGTACAGAGATACTAAGACGAAAGTGACCTCATACTGATTTGTGGTACATTATGTATGCAATTAATTTCGCTAGATGTACAAGCACAAAGTGTAAGAAGGAAAACTATATTTTTCTTGATTGTTACAGTATGTCTGTTGAACGATGACTAGTAAATATCATCTGTACAGAAAAGTCATTCCAGCGTGTATTTCTTCAACACAAAGAAACAAAAAAATTCGGGATGCATGATATTGTTTCTTTTTATGCTGATATTTGAAACAGTAATGTCGTCTGCACTTCGTTCTAGCGGTTTTTACATTTTGGTGCAATAATCTTGTTAATAGGATCATTCAGAAGGGCATGATCTGCACTTGCTAAATAATTATTCACATTATTTATTTCATATTCTTGGGAGGTACAAAACCTCCTCCTTAGGAAAACACTAAAGTAATATAAAGTAATTTTTTAACGAGTGCCAATACTTAAAAGAACTACAGCTTTTTTGTGTTGTTTTTGGGTGTTCATTTACAAGTTTTGCAATGTGATTTTAGTCCCAAGTGAGCTGTAGTTTTAATCAAATCAGACTTTTCACCTTTTGACACAAATTAATGATTGATTTCTTTACAGAAATGAACTTTATTTTTTACTTTTTAACATTTTAAGTGCCTGTTAGTAAATAAGTGACTGACAACTGGTGTCCTGATGTTACTGCTTGCACTCCTGGTTGACATTGAAGTTATAGCAGACTCATAAAAATTGCTTAATTTTATTTGCATATCAGCATAATTTTGCATAACAAACCAAAACCATTTCAAGTCATTATTGGTTGATTCTCTGAGGAATATTTCCAGTATTCCAGGATTAAAGCAGTTCTGAGGGCAAAAGGGGGTCTGACCCAGTAGTAGTACGGTGTACCTAATAAAGTGGCCAGTGAGTGTAAATTTGTCATTTTTGTAAAAAAAATTAATATGTCGATTTGCAAAATAAAAAGAGACAAAAATGTGGTTTTCAGCAGATTGATCCAATGCAGTCTAACTGGAAAACATAAATCATTTTGGGTTTTTTTTAAGTAGGAAATTATGTCATTTGTACAAAAATGTACAATCTTTTTAAGCGTTCCGATAACATCATGCATCCCAAATCCTGGGTTCACACCAAATGCGAGTTTAAGTATTCACTAGTAGGCATGGGACTACACCCAGCAAACAATTTTGTCTTTAATAGACATCTAGATGTATTAAACTTAAACATAGTCAAATAGGCAGATTAGACAGACTTTATATGTGTAGTCATTCATTTCTGTTTATTTGATGACTAGCTTAGTTTTGGGCTATTCTTAGACGTTTGTTATAGTTTCACTGACAGCCCAAATTTAGCCTTGTTTTAGCAAAGATGACCATGTATAGACGTCTATTAGACATCTTTCATAGATATATACACTAGATATTGTATACAGACCCTGAGGATGCGTAAAACACGCCGCCACATTTGTACAGTGCTTTCAGCACAAATGTCACTTCTTTAGCACTGGGTACAGGTGTAATAATGAGCAAACAAAGAAAAGAAAGCATAAAGGCGGAACATTTCATAGGTAAAATTTTGTTTTTTAACTTTTTATATGTTACAAACTTTTCTGCCAAACAAGTATTGATGATAATACAGTCACTTACTGCATTCACAAGGCAAAGTAGCTCCAACTTGCACTAAATTCTAGGCTTATGCTAGTTTTGTTTAATAAATGAAATGTGACAGCAAGATGCTGCGGTGCCAGCAACTTGTATTATTGTCAGCTAAGGGAATGAACCGATAGATATATGTATATATGTGTGTATATCTCTGGCTCTAGATGGCCAGTCCTGGTTTCGTATTCATTTTAAAGGAGCACTACCCTGTACTAAAATGGCAGCTCTATTGATGCATTCCTTCCAATAGACAACAATAGGTTAGGCAACATCTAATGTAAATACCTATGGACATCTTTTAAAAACAAAAAATGCTTGCTGGGTACTTCCTCGGTTTAGAAAAGTCAAGGTTTTAAAAACACTTTTTTTCCATCTTTCCTACAGTTTTTTAAAGCTGTTGTTTTATCACAACTATTTTGTTTAGTTTTTTTTCGGGAAGCAGTATCTAATAAAGTAAATTAAGGACCTTCTATATCAAAAACTACTGGTCTGCCCACGATTCTGGAAATATTTAAAAAACAAATTGCACATGCGCCAACATCCAAGAATGCTATAGACCTGAACAGTGGAGTGGCATAAAAGAAACATATCCACAGATGCGTTTTCAATTTTTTAAAAGAAATCTGTCTTTTTGAAACTACTGAAGATAGCAGTAGTCAACGATTTATTTTAATTATTTAGCCTGACATGTTTCCTGAAAACTACTTTAAATCAAATATGTTGTGTTCAAAGGGGAAAATGTTTACCCAGACATTTAAAAATAACATTTTAAAGCAGAAATCATAACACGGTGATATTTTTATCCAAGGTTTTCATACTGACAGAAATCCATACTGGCACATGCCTGTTCGCGAGTAAATTAAAAGTCAACGCAAAGGTGCATATATCAAATTTATATGGCAAATTTCCTCAATGTGGCACAAATGTCACGTAATGCAGTACGTGTTTGCCTCGAATGAGCAATATTTACCTCATTTGCATCTTAAGTTAACACATCCAGGGGTGAAAAAAATATCCCATAGGTAATCTAGAGTGGATGCGCTTGATCTCTTCCCCATTTGGTGTGAACCTACCATACGAAAAAAAAATCTAATTCAAACTCTGTTGATCACCATTAGACATATGTCCTGTTCTGATTCTGGTAATGTTAGTAATCCAGGCCATGTATTTGGAGATGCGGGTGTAGATGCCATACTTCCCCTCTTTAGCGCACTCCTCGCCCCAGCTGACGATGCCCGTTAGGAACCAGGTGTCTTTGTAGCGGGTGGCATGCGGCCCTCCGCTGTCCCCCTGACAGGCGTCTTTACGTACCGTACTGTAACCGGCACAGAACATAAAGCGGGAGATGCTGTCGGTGCTGCTGCCTTTGCACTTTATTCGGTCCACATAAGGTAGTTCCACTTTCTGCAGCACATTGGATTCGATGCCACCATAGCGTAACCTGCCCCACCCACTCACCAGGGAGTTTTCTGCGCTCTGAAGCAAGTTTTCAGTGAAGTCTTTGGAGCCCAGGCAGATAGGTACAGCGTAGTCGAAGAGTATGACAGGCTTCTTCAGCTTTAACAGGGCGATGTCGTGGTTGTAAAGGCTCCGCTGAGAGTTGTAGCGGGGATGGATGTGGTACTCCTCAATGCCGTGGTCAGACTCTGTTCCCTCCATCTTTGAGACGTCATGTTCACCTATTGAAAAATAACAACTCATTTTTAATCTGTGTAAATTCATTCGGTCTCTGCATGCCAATTTTATGCTCTTTCCACCATCCCCTACTCCTCCTCGCTCCTTACTCATATCTAATATCTGTTCAAGGTCTTTAGCTTATAGGTACTTGGTAATCAATGTTGATATATACAGTTGAAGTCAGAATTATTAGACCTCCTGAATTTTTAGCCTCCCAGTATATTTATTTCCCCATTTTGAAAAGATTTTTTCAATTTCTAAACATAATAGTTTTGATATCTAATCTTTCTGATAATTGATTTCTTTTATCTTTGCCAAAATGAGAGTATATAATATTACTAGATATTTTTTCAATTGCAATTTTAAGGCTTAACTAGGTTAATTAGGTTAACTAGGCAATTTAGGGTAATTAGGCAAGTCATTGTATAATGATAATTCATACAATCTTAAAAATATTGCTTAAGGGGATAATAATATTGACAATAAAAGGGTTTATTATTAAAACAAAGATGACTTTCTCCAGAAAAAAAAAAAGATATTATAGGAAATACCGTGAGACATTTATTGTTCTGTTAAACATCATTTGGTAAATAATGACAGCAACACAAAATATACAGACAACAAACATGAAAAATGTAGTGTTGTGTGGTCTCTCACCCACTCTGATGAAGAAGGACCCCTGCTTCCCTTCAACACAGTGGGCAGCGGTGATGACCCACTCTTCACTGAGAAGAGAGCCTCCGCAAAACACAATCTTATTTACCTTTTCCAGAAAAACCACCTGCCAGCATCATAAACAAAAGAACACTCAAGTTTTATGTCAAGGCATATATGGGTCCTATAGGCTCTAGTCATTTGACCACTGTTCAGGCATATCACACAATAAAGACTATTTAAAGTTGACTTCTATAATCATTCTGAATCCAAAATCAAATGGCTATTTGTTGAAGAACCAATTGTCTACAGAAATGAGTCACCCACTTCTTCATCTGTTAAATTCAAATCCTTGATATAAATGATGAAAGTACACCATATGTTATCAAATACAACAATTGATATCATCTGTTTTATCCACTGAGCCGTATTTGGACTTTGAATTTTCGTTCATAACAGAGTGAAATATTTTGTTTTTTGCATAACACAAGTTGAGATCTACAAATGTTCATTCACTTGTATTGTACTTTTGTTTTTGCTGCATTTTAAGGGAGAGAATTTTTTTTAAATTTAATTAAAAATTTTAATTCTGAAATCATTTACTCACCCTTGGTTGATTCCAAACCAGTTTGACTTTTGGTATTTATTTTTGTTTTAATGAGCAAAAATGTAAATATTTAGAAAAATGTTTAAAACGGGTAACCATTGACTTCTATAGTAGGTAAAACATACTATAGATCTCAATGAATATTGATTTCAAGCATTCTTCAAAAATAATCAGTTTGATATTTCATCTATTGAATTTTATATATTGTTCAACAGAAAAAAAAAGAAAAAAAACTCAGGCTGTTTTGGAACCAGGAAAAATGAGCTTTTTCAAATAGGATAATATTGACCACTGGGCCGACATACAACTATTAAAAACCTGCAATCTGAGGGTGCAAAAATACTCATCTTAAAAACTTGTCTACAGAAAGTGCAGACGAAGCATTTCACAAATCAAAATTAAGTTATGATATGTTAATGCAAGATTTACAAAATGTCATCATGGAAGATGATATTTGCTTAATATTCTAAAGATTGCTGGCAAAATATAAAAATGGATCATTTTAATTTACAATATTTACAATACAATTATTTTTGGGGATTTTTTCACAAATATACAACATGTTTCGCTTCTTGTCACATGTTAGTGTAATTTGTTGTTAGTTTTGACATCTGTTCGCTGCACTGAGAAAAAAGGGAAACTGCTGTGTCTTTCAATCAAAGTACATTTTTATATTGGATTAAATGAAAATGATGGTTATATTCAATTCAACTTAAAGCATAAAACTAACAAAAAATTAAGATCACTTCTTGCTCACCAGGTAGTGTTTTGCCATCTGCCACTCAAATGTGAAGTTTGGATTTAAAAAAATAAATAAATATTTAAGTGTATTAATTAATAAATATTAATTCACGTTCTCTCTAAAACAATATTTTGCTTTTAAGTGGATTTTCTTTCACCCCTTGGCCAGAACAAACATTTTCATTAATTAGTTTAGTGAAAATTTACATTTTACTACATTACAACTCGTTTTAATACATTTAGCTGTAAGTACAGTAAGTTTTTAGGTTGGTCCAAAGCAAAATTATACCTTGATGTAAGGGTAAAAACAATGTTCTACTCTGTACGAAAGGAAAAAAAAAGTTAATGCAAAGTTAATGTTGTTAACGTTATGAAAATACAGCTGTCCATTTTTAGTTCATGGTAACTCCCGGTGGATTCACTAATGTTAACAAGCAGGAATTTGGATTTTAATAATGCATTGTTAAATGTTGATCTATGAGTTATAAACGCTCTTCAAGTATTGCTCATTATAAGTTCATGTTAGTACATTAACTAATGAAACCGAACTGTAAAGTGTGACCAAAATATTTCTACTTTGCATGAATTAATTTTTTTCTTGACTACAATAAATATACTACTAACTATTTTAGCTGCAACAAATTACAGTAATTTATAAAAGTATAATTCTTTCAGTGTTTCCCAGAGATGGGTTGCAGCTGGAAGGGCATCCGCTGCGTAAAAACTTGTTGGATAAGTTGGCGGTTCATTCCGCTGTGGTGACCCCGGATTAATAAAGGGACTAAGCCGACAAGAAAATGAATGAATGAATAATTCTTTCATTGTGTTTAGAGCCAGAAATTTGGCCATCAGACTAAAAATTATTTAGTCTGTTATATGTAACGCCCTCCATAAATAACTGTTCAGAGGATTTTAGCCACAAAACTGGGTCTGCTTCAGCAGATTGAGAAAGCCTCTTATAAATGTTTAATTTACCCAGACACACACAGTTCATCACATCACTTACCTGCCAGGGAATCTCTCCTGGTATGGCTTCATCTCCTCCTACAATGCGATACTTATTGTTAGTTGTATTGTTGATATTGGTCAGGATGGGAGAAGAGGAGACATTTTGCAGTGAATTTCGAGGTGTGCTTGTGCTGTTCATTTCAGAAAGATCTGTAGGACTGGATTCTGTTGTGTTGTATTCGGTTCCATTGATGTGACTGATGGTCTGATTTTGATTTACAGTCTCAGTGGACTCAAGAGCCCTTGAATTGAGAGTTTGAGCAATGATCTTTCCAAGACGTCCACAAGGATACTGCCCTATAAAGATGTCAGTGGATGAATTAGAGCAAGATCCAATTGCAAGACCCAACTTGCAATCATATTCCTTAAATGAACATAAAGTCATAGTGCACAATATAAGAAAAGCTTTGAGCTGTGAGATTGAAATATAAGTTTGGTGCAAAGTAGCTTAATGTGGGTAATTGGTGTGTAATGAGTGTGATTGCTGTACCTCGCGGTTCGCAGGATCTGCCGTCTACAGCCAATCTGTAACCCTCGGCACAGTCACACACTGCTCCATAAATTTTATCCACGATGCAGAAATGCATGCAGCCTCCATTATTTACATGACACTGTTTGGCCATCTCTGCACCAGAGGAGTCCATGAAACACCACATATCGTTTTAGCAGAGGAAGCAAACAAGGTTTAAGCACTTCTTTTTGACCAGGAAAATATCAGAGAGTTATTTAGACAGAGATTACATAAAACATACATATATTACATTTATAACAATTAAAAAATATAATATAATATAATGTAACGTAACGTAACGTAATATAATATAATATAATATAATATAATATAATATAATATAATATAATATAATATAATATAATATAATATAATATAATATAATATAATATACAGTACACTATATGCACTTTTAGAAATGACTAGAAACAGCATTAAAATAAAAATAAAAATAAGATACTTCCATATATTTATTAATATAATTCAAACAATATTGCACAATAAAACTACAAATTAAATCACATAAATAATTCATAATAACATTAAAAAATAAAATTACTAAAAAAAAATTTGAAAACAGCCAAAAATAATAAAATAATGTATTGTAAAATTGTAATATACAGTTGAAGTCAGAATTATTAGCCCCCCTTTGAATTTTTTTTTTGCTTGTTTTTTTTCAAATATTTCTTAAATGATGTTTAACAGAGCAGGACATTTTAACAGTATGTCTGATAAATTTTTTTTTCTGGAGAAAGTCTTATTTGTTTTATTTCAGCTAGAATAAAAGCAGTTTTAAATATCATCTTTTATATGGAATAGAAAAAATGCACTTATCCGTAAAAATATTTTACATCGACACCGAGACCACAAAGGATTGTCATTACCCAACATTTCTATACCCAGTATGTACTGGGTATGAACAACATACCCAGCGTTATAACTGGGCAGCTAATATTCAAGCATTGTTAAACTTGTCAAATTCACCAAATGACAGTGGCCCTAATTAGTTATCTTTAGAAAACACATCAGGTCGTTCAACCCTTCTCCATGCTCTGCTTTGCTCAAATTTTCCGACACCTGAACCTTTATCTAAATACTCTTTAAACCCAGTTGTCAAAAAACACTCACTCACTTTTGCACTTAAAGAACTATCAGCCCATGCACACCATGGCAATAAATCATTTGTTCACCCCCTCTACTATAGACAAAACTATTGATATCTGGTCTATGAAAGGTCTTAAGACATTAAAAGATATGTTTATTGATGGGCAATTTGCTTCATTCCAATAAGTAAAAGGCCGTACTGATATGCTTTTTTCTCATCTGGCAACCTGTTTTAGATCACATAAAAAAGATGGACCTCTCAGTTATTTTAGGAGAGTAGAACCTTTTCTTGTTTTTTAATTTTTACATTTTTATTTTTTTTTTTCTATTTTGTTTATTTTTGTTCCCTTATATACAAGAGTAACATATGTTTTACTTAATATTATTATTTATTTGTATTTTATCTTAATATTATTTATACATTTTATAGAACCTAAATGTATATGTGTAACAGGTTTTGTTTGTTTGTTGTGTAGAAAAAGTGAAAAGCTATTTGTACTGTATGTTTCATGTCTAATATGTTCAATAAAAACACTTTTGAGCAAAGAACAAAAGCAGTTTTTAATTACAAACAACAACAACAACAACAACAACAAACAACATTTTGAGGTCAAAATTATTAGCCTCTTTAAGCTATATATCAGCTATAAATAAGCTATATATGTCTTGAAAAATATCTAGTCAAATATTATGTACTGTCCTCATGGCAAAGATAAAATAAATTATTAGAAATCAGTTATTAAAACTATTATGTTTAGAAATGTGTTGAAAACATCTGCTCTCCATTAAACAGAAATTGGGGGAAAATAAACAGGAGGGCTAATAATTCTGACTTCAACTGTATGTAAACATATAGTTTACATATATAAACAATATTATATTATATTATATTATATTATATTATATTATATTATATTATATTATATTATATTATATTATATTATATTATATTATATTATATTATAGAGGATAAACCAGAAAAAACAATATATTAAAACATGCAATAAAAATAATTAATAAAAACTGTCAAACAAAACAATGAAATAAATTATGAAAAAAATATGCTGACAATTTTAATCTATGTATACCATCTAAAAAAATTATTTATATAATGTAAATAAAAACCAAATCATATCTAAACAGAAACATAATTATCAAATATACGCTTCCAAGAAATTGCATCTTACCTAACTCACAGTTCTTCCCGCTGAAGCGTGCAGGACACCAGCAGGTGTATGTGTTCATCCCATCCTCACACTTCCCTCCATTCTGACAGGGAGACGACAAACACTGGTCTCCATCTGAAAGAAAAATAGAGACCATAATCATCACATCATCAAGATATCCTTCTAATAATGTCCATTCTCAACATACAAACACAGCACATCCATCAATATTCAACCTCACCCATATAAGTGATCCAGAACTTCATCTGAAAGAGAGTTTGGAAAGTGTTTAACCTCACAATAAAAATCCTAAAACACGACAATGACTTTAAAAACATGCTTGCGTTACTTACAGTTTTCTCGTTGTTCTCAAAAACCTCTCTGGCTTCTTCTAGACTGCAGCGTTCCTCATAACATTCCCGCTCCAGGTTGTCCTTCATCATCTCCTCAAGTCCTCCTGTGTTATAACGCTTCTGTCTCTTCAGAAGAGACTCGGCCAGATCCCTCGGCAGAAACACTGAAGCTACACACAAAACAACCACACTGAGAAATTAGGAGTGGTGCTACTTTGAGGACACAGAAAAAAAAGTTGATTGCAATTTGCAGATATATTTGGTATTCAAGGTAATGCTGTTGTAGGTAAGGCTTTCTATGTTCAGATCTGAAGAGCTGATGTCTCTGGTAATAAAAATACAAGTTAAGGAACAGCAAACACTGACATTGCTAAGATGAAGAAATGCTGTCGATAATTGTAATTGATTTGTGTTGGGGCAACATGAAGTAATTAAGTTAACATACTGGTTCTTGCAAATTTAAGTGGATTGAACATAAAACAATTAAGTTGTCCCCAAAAAACTTAAGAGTTGTGTTGTTTTAACCCATTTTATATAATAGTTTGAACAAACACCAAATGTGGATTTCAACCACACTGTAAAAAATGCTGGGTTCCACACAATCGTATTGTGTTGGGGCAACATGAAGGTATTAAGTTCTAAGTTAATTAGGTTAGTTTTGCAAATTTGAAATTGAATATAAAACAATGAAGTTTTCTCAAAAAACTCAAGAATTGTGTTGCTGTAAAACCCAACTTTACCAAATTAAATGAGTGTAGTTAACTCAAAATTTACTGAAAGTTAATTCTACTCATTTAAAAAGAGTTTTGAACTCTTGAGGGTTAAAGGTAATGATTAAATACCTCATTGCTTCAACTTAAATGGAGTTAGTTCACAGTACTCGTATAGATTTTTTTTTTTTTAAACTCAAATTGGTTTGTAATCGGTTTCCTCAAATGGTTTGAGTTGCCTTAACTTATTGGGTTTTAAGTACTCAGTTGTTTTGAGTTCTCTTCATTTATTGCTCAAATTGCTTTGTTTACTTAAATGGATTAAGTTTAAAGTACTCATTAGGATTAGTTTTTGAACTTGTTGCATTCGGTTTCCTCAAATGGTTTGAGTTACCTTAATTTTTTAGGTTTTAAAGTGTATAAGTCGCTTGAACAAACACCAAACGTCATTTTTGAGTGTATACAATTTGCATCTTTTTAAAAAGATTTTTATCATGGTATTGAAGGTAATGCTGTTGTACTTTAAAAGGTTTTCTATCTTCAAATTTGAAGAGCTGAAGTCTCAAGTAAGTAGTAGGTTCCACCTAATCGATTTGTGCCGGGGCAACATAAAATAATTAAGTTAGCTTTTGCAAATTTAAGTGGATTAAACATGAAACAAATAGGTTGTCCCCCAAAACTCAAGAATTGTGTTGTTTCAGCACATTTCATATAAGTCGTTTAAACAAACACCAAACATCTTTTTTTAAGTCTATAAAATTTGCATGCCGGCGACGCGGTAGGTAGTGCTGTCGCCTCACAGCAAGAAGGTCGCTGGTTCGAGCCTCGGCTGGGTCGGTTGGCATTTCTGTGTGGAGTTTGCATGTTCTCCCTGCGTTCGTGAGGGTTTCCCGCACAGTCCAAAGACATGAGGTACAGGTGAATTGGATAAGCTAAGTTGTCCGTAGTGTATGAGTGTATGTGCATGTTTCCCAGAGATGGGTTGCGGCTGGAAGGGCATCCACTGCGTAAAACATATGCTGGATAAGTTGGCGGCTCATTCCGCTGTGGCGACCCCGGATTAATAAAGGGACTAGGCCGAAAAGAAAATAAATTAATGAAAATTTGCATGCTTTTTTTTTTTAATTGAAGGTATTTGAGGTAATCCTGTTGTATTTTAAAATGCTTTCTATGTTCAAACTTGAAGAGCTGAAGTCTCCAGTTTAAGAAAACTGAAACATTTTAACAATTTAATTGTTTTTTTTTTTCACATGAAAAGGTGGTGTAAACTTCTTTCTCTCTTTTATAACTCTTTAAACACAAGGCTTTGACTATGTTGAAAATGTTTCTTCCTGCCGTAATACACTGATCATTTTGATAATTTAGTCACATTTGTAAACTGTGCTACTAAACAGCCTATATTTCATGCTAAAGTCTGTTAGATACAACAGTTTTTATTTAATTCTATTTATATCAAGTTTATTTGTATAGTGCTTTTCACAACAGTATTATTTCAAAGCAGCTTTACAAAAGGTGCACATTTTTACATTACAATCAAATTCGGAAAAGGTCATTAGTTACCATAACTTTATTAGTTACTAATAACTTTAATTAATTAACTAGTAACTAATAGCTTTTAACAGTTAAAGTTATTATATGAAGAGTTTGGATGCAAAAACCTCCGAGTGCCGTCTGAAATTTCCATCGAAAATGAACTTTTTTCTCAGCCTCCTTTGTTTATGTTGAGATATTTCCCTTTAAAGACCAGGAAAATGACTTAATCTTTGCCATAAAAGTGATATTATTGAACATACACACAGGAGCCTGATAAAAATACAAATTTTAGAAGAAAATTTCAGAGGGCATTTAGAGGTTTTTGCATCTAAACTCTTTATATATAAACGTTTTAAGAACAGACAATAAATTAAGTCAGATGAAAGTTAACATACCTCCTGAAGAAAGCCAGAATTCAAGCAGCAAACTGCACATCAAAATAACGGGATAAATCTTCACCATTTTCTCTATTATGATTTCCCTTCAGGCACAAATCTTTCCCAACAGTCTAAATACCTTCATGATCTGCTCCAAAGTTCAGCACATACGTGTTTGCACTTCATGCGAACTGATATCTCATCCGGTGGGTGTTTTTCTTTTTTCAGTACGTGCCTTCATGCAGTGTTTGTGATCTTTTTCCAGCATTTTCCCCATTGTTATTCTAATTTAAATAAGATCTATTTCAATCAGTAATGTGTAGTGTAAGAAAACATCCCTGCGGCTGAATAATGCATTTTGTCATATTTCGGATTTCATGAAGTAGCCATTTAAATGTATAATATGTATATTTATTTAATATTATATTTGCATGATGCCACAGCATGTGCGTGCCTGAGTCATTCTGCCTTTTTAATGTTTTTTTCCTGCTGAGTCAGAGATTTCAGTTCAGACTTGGGACCCAGCAAATATTGACTTGGCTGACTAACACTCCTCCTCTCATAATTGACGTCCATGGCTGCTAAACTAGCTATTGCTATTAAAAATACAAGTTAAGAAATAGCAAACACTGACATTATGTGTTAAGATGGGGATATGTGCTTAGATGTTTATTTTCCTCTGCGAGTCAGTTCTCCTTTAGTGATTAATGGTGAAAAAGTGAATTTTTGTATGAGTGTATCTTGTGCTAGACATGTATGAAAGCAGACAGATCTGGTTTTCCATGTAGATTTGAAATATTTATAGGTCTCATATCCGTCCACCCAACTTGGGTGACTTGCAGTATCTTTTTTTATGTAACAGGATTTGTGTTTTCTCCGTGGCAGTCGAACAGGAAGTTTAATCTACATAATTAATGCTGCTCTTGGATGGGTAAATGAAGAGGGAATTACAATGACTTTCACATGGGCCAACTAGTCAAATATATATTTCTATTAAACAAAGTCAGGGTTTCTGCAATTTAAAAGTAAATTGAATACTTTATTAGATATTTTCAAGTAAACTAAAAGGAATGAACTAAAGAAAACAATATCTTAATGCAGTATGTTTTTAAATCGAATAGAAATACAGATAATGATCAAATATGCTAAAATATTAAATATCAACAAACTCAGGATAGTTCACTCAAAACTGAAAATTCATTCTGTCATCGTTTACTCACCTTTCACTTGTTCCACGGCACTTAGAAAAAGTAACTACATTTCTAGTAACTCGCTTGTTTCTTTCCTCATCTGTTGAACACAAAAGAAGATAAAAATCCAAAATCAAACAAAAAAGTGCTCAGGGGTAGCTTAAATAATGTGTCGGTGCTCTTTGAGTAAGAGATTAATCAAAATAAACAGTAAAAGTCTGTCCAAGGCACTCACAAAATGTGGAAAAATATTAAAAATCCTTTATTGACATGGCTATTCCTTAAAACTGCACCAACGCGTTTCGGCAAACATTTGCCTTCATCAGGGTAACGACAAAAGAGGAGATTTTAAAGATTGCTGAAAACCCTGTGAATATTCTCTTCCATACTCGTTTTTCCTATTGAATGTTAATAGTTACAATTTTTCAAATTGAAATAGATGAACAAAACATGAAAAAACATTAATCAGGTTAGTAACAAGTGAAGGGTTAGTAAATATTAAGTAGTGAGTACATTTTTGTACTCTTTTTGAACAATTTTGAACTCTCTTTAAAATTTAAAGAGAGTTCAAAAATGTTCAAAAAGAGTACAAAAATGTACTCACTATTTAATATTTACTAACCCTTCACTAAGTTAAAATAAATAAATTAAAATACAATTGGCATGTGTTTGTTCTTGTATAGTTAATAAGACAATCATTTAAAGTTTAAATGACTGTCTTATTAACTATACAAGAACAAACACATGCCAATTGTATTTTAATTTATTTATTTTAACTTACATTTTGGTTACTGATATATCTTGAATAAAGATGTATAGATATTTGTATTGAACAAGTATCAAAAATACTAGAGATATAAATTTTATTAATTCATTTATTTATTTAATTTCCTTTGGCTTAGTCCCGTTATCCATTAGGGGTCACCACAGTGAAATGAACCGCCAACTTATCCAGCATATGATTTACACAGTGGATGCCCTTCCAGCTGCAACCCAGTACTGAGAACACCCATACACTTTCACATTCACACACATACACTATGGGCAATTAAGCTTATTCAATTCACCTCTAGCGCATGTCTTTGGGCTATGGGGGATACCGGAGCACCCAGAGGGAACCCATGCTAACATGGTGGGAACTCCATACAAAAATGTTTACTGACCCAGCCGAAACTGGAACCAGTGACCTTCTTGCTGTGAGATGACAGTGCTAACCACTGAGCCGCCGTGTCGCAGATGAGTTTTATAGCATAAGTCAATGCGTAATAAATGTGTAATCTTGTATATTATAGCGGCTGTGACTCACTTTCTACTCAAAACACTACATTAAAAAAGGGATGAGTTATTTTTTAAAAATCTCATTAAAATAAATCCTACTGTAAACTTAAATAAGCTGACTTTCCCACCCTTACTGCAAGAAATGACTTTTTGCATATAAGCAAGATCAGCCTAAACCTTAGCAAGCAAATGACTCCATCATAAGCTAAAATAACATTACAGCACCCCTGCTCGATTTGATGACAGATTCAAAACCCATATGATGCAAATTTTGTTTAACCATAAAACAAATCTAGCTTCTTCTTTTAAATGGTTGGCCACATATAACATAAACTGGGACTACTTGGAATCTTAAATATTTGCTAACTAACAAAGTAAAAGGAGTGACATAAAATATTACATAACTGCTACCCTTGAAATAGTTTACTTAGTAAATATATGCTAGATATTGAAAACAAATGTACATTTTGTGACTTGGAAGAAACCATTGTTTTTGTGAAAATACTTAAGTGAAACTTTTGAACGAACTATCTATCTCTCAGAAAAGACAAATGTTTCAATACTTTTGACATATTTGTCTTTTATTACAACTCTGAATCTTGTATTCAGTACATTGTTAATATTTTTATTATAATGGGTAAATTTTTTATTCACAAATGGGCATTTTTGGAGAAGATGTGAATTCTGGTTATTTTTTATTGACTATAAGTCACATACTTTGTATTTAATAGGCATAAAAAATAAATAATAATAAAAATCTTTGAAAAGTCAAAAATGGCCTGATCTTTTATTCATTCATTTATTTAATATGTTTTAAAATCTCTCTCTTCTTTAAAATGTATTATGCAGATTGTAACAGCATCTTCGTTTTTTACTAATGTTTTAAGTTTCTGCAATCTATAGTAAACTGTTTTTGAAGCCAATAAAAAAGCACTCCTGCTCCTTTTAAAATCATTATCAGATATTCTTGCTTACAATTTTTAGTTCAGATGCTAAAATTCTCCTCTAAAATGAGTTTTATTCTAAGGCACCTGTTAGCAGGTTAATTAATTTCCCTTGTATTGTGATAGGTTCCTTTCTGTTCATTTGAAAAGATGTCATGAAAACAAACACATGAGCCTGAGAAAAATGCTCATTTTGAAGAAAAATTTCAAGTCTGTTTTCAACGACTGCTGTTTAAACCAAACCTGCTGTTTGTTAATGAATGGTGTTGCGTAAATGTGCACGTAATGTTTGTCAACTCGAGAGTATTCTTTCTGACCGAGAGGCGTCAGCGGCGGGCGACGTCACGCGTCACGTGGTGAAGTTTGGGCTCCACAACGCGACCTTAGTGAAATACACCGCCATGTGGTCTGATTGATGTGTCAAAGCACATCATGAGCGCTCGAACTGTAATCTTACACACCGCAAACTGAACGACACTAAAACAGCCTGGGAAGTGGCCTTTGACGTTTTAATTTTTAAAGAAGACAGTTGTTACATTTTTTTCTCACTGCCTTTCCTCTGTCATGGAACAAAGCGCAATGTACACCTGCCAGAGGAGATCGTAATAACGACCAGCACACGGTGAGCATTCAGCAACATTTAATTCCACTGACGTTGAACTAATTTAATTAACATTCATATTCAAATTGCTTGATGAGTTTGTTTGGGAAAGCATTAATGCTAGATTTATGCTGCATGCTGTAACGTTATATGATACTTGATGATCTATAAACACTATTTTAAAAACAAAAAGACATCAGCCTGTTATAAGCAGCACTCTGGTTCCTTTAAGGAGGGGTTGGCCACTGTTTAATAGAAGAGCCAGTTTTAAATGATCGGACCGTTTTGGTGTGAGTTATCATCTGGAATTCTTCATCAAAACTGGGATCTATGAGCGGGAAAGCATTATTAAAGACGAAAGAAGATAAGGATGCAACCAAAGGTAAGATATCCCATATATATTAACATGATTATCATCTTTTCCTCTATGCACTGACATAAATATGCTTGTTTATAATTCTAGGGAAACTGTTGGTTGTGGTTATGCAGACGGTTACAATGAATGGGCCGATGCCAAGCATAGCAGGGAAAATCATTAAAAATTGATTCCCTCGTCGTTAGTAGCCTGCAATCTATTAAACATCTACAAAAAAAGAGTAACGCTACCTTAATGTGACTGCTTGCTAGCGTTCAATCTGATTGATACATACAACCAACAAGTGCGATGTTTATTTAGCGTTTATATTTTGAGGCGCGGTCACTTTAAATCTACAGTAATAACAGCTGAGCGCGCTTCACGAGGAGCAAAAATAGCTTTCCACGCTTCTCATACTTTACCTCAGAAACAGCAAACGCTTCAGTCAAAAGGCTTTCTCTTGACGAAACGTGTGTGTAAAAGGAAAATGAGTATTTATGTGTTTATTTCCTACTTGAGCGTGATATACGCACGCTTCAGTTCACGGAGGCTGGGGGTACCTATTGCCATGGAGACAAAGAGGCGGGAGGCTTCTCATTAAAAATACATATGATGCTGTATAAAGCAGATGTATTCTGTATTTTTAGCGTCTACAGCGGTTCTTGCACTGGACATAAATTGCATAACATTTTATATAAGGTCAACAAGCATTAAAGTGCTCGTTTTTAGCCTAAAATGTGTAAGTAATCTAGTTAGGTATCCACAACCCCCTGAAGAGGGAGTACTAAATGCTTGTGTGGGGGGATTATGTTTGATTAAGCTGTTAGAGGAAAAACTCATTAAAGTTTATTACGTCATGGAAAAGTGTGGAACAATCAAGACATCATCTGCACTTGAGGCCATGTTAAATGAGGGGTCATTAAAGAAGGCATAACTTTTAATTACATTTAATAGACCTGTGGGGATTCAGCTTAAATGAGAGATTTGGCTTCTTCGGGGTTTTGATTGAACACAACGTTCGTTTAAAATGTTGCGTTTAATTCTGGTCACTGTATGTCACCGCTTGTGTCAGTGTTTGATTTTAGCGTCCTTCAAAAATATGTCGTATGCTGTGTCGTTGATAGTATTAACATTGATTTTTTTTCAGGTTGAAGCCTCAGTGATTTACACATCGTGGCCTCAAATTTCAGGGACTAAGATTTATCACATGTGATCTGCTATATAAATGCTCCACTTCTATGTGTGTAAACAAGACTCCTTCAGATCTTGTGGGCTAACCATTAGAAGAATGTAACAAAATATATTTAGAAATTTGATTAGAGGTAAATAAATCCTAGTGTGGTCAAAGACAAGAATAAAATTTTTGAGGTGTCTGAATAAAAATTAATTCATAAGATTTTATATAAATAATGTCGATGTTACCTAAATGACTTTAACGCAGTAGTAGTAAAACTTTATTGTTCTTGACAGGAAATTTGGTATGGGCATCATCATGCAAATCATGGAAGGATGACATTCCATAAAAACAATGCAAACAATGCACAGTAGTCACAATAACTCATTTCTAATAACTGATTTATTTTCTCTTTGTCATGATGACAGTACATATAATTTGACTAGATATTTTTCAAGACACTAGTATTCAGCTTAAAGTGACATTTAAAGACTTATCTAGGTTAATTAGGTTAACTAGGCAAGCTAGGGTAATTAGGCAAGTTATTGTATAATGATGGTTTGTTCTGTAGACAATCGAAAAAATGTATAGCTTAAAGGGGCTAATAATTTTGACCTTAAAATAGCTTAAAATTTTAAACTGCTTTTATTCTAGCCGAAATAAAACAAATAAGACTTTCCCCAGAAGAAAAAATATTATCAGACATACTGTGAAAAATTTGAAAAAGAAAAAAAATTCAAAGGGGGGCTAATAATTCTGACTACAACTGTATATATATTCAGATGCACAAACCTATAAATGCCGTCTGAAATTTTCTCCTAAAATTGAAATTTTTCTCAAGCTCCAGTGTGTATGTTGAGTAAATCCCTAAGAAAATGCTTATATTAGAAGAAAATTTCATATGGCACTTAGACGTTTTCTATTCAAAGTATAATAATAATTCAAAGAATTCAAAGTATAGTTGGAAATTATGAAAACGTGAACTCACAATCAAAATTATTGAGTGTTTATGGACTGCTGAATCCCTCAATCCCTAAATAAATTCATGTAAACAAATGTCTTATAATTGTTCTTCTAAATATGCCTTACAAGACTAATATATATATATATATATATATATATATATATATATATATATATATATATATATATATATATATATATATAGTAGTATATAAATTATTGCTTCACTCAATGAGTTCATCTTAGAATAACATATTTTTCTCATAAAAATCATTGTAAAAATGTATTTTACAATAATGCTTTTGTCCTTGACTCTAGCTGCATTAATAAATTGGACTAATGAAAAGTTCTTTAAAAAGTTTATATGTTTCTGTTCAGCTAAGACCTGAATTAGTGTGTATATATTTAAACTTTTGTGACACCTTAAGTTAATACTTTTGTAGAAATTGTGTATATGTCACTGAACCCATAGCTTTACCACCAGATGTCAGTATCATCTTTCAAAACTTATTAGGTCTTTTCTATATCTCTTGGCTTGGCCGCTTGGTATGTGTACGTGCACGCTTGCATGCATCAATATAGTCTTAACATGATGTCTATATTTATAATAATGCCATTGTCCCCCCTAATACTTGTTGTCCTGTCATGTTAAAGTATACACAGTTCAAGATGGCAAGGAGTACATTCTGTTGCGGACGGAATCAAGTCTATCTCTCGCTGTAGATCAGAAAGAAAACTCACCTTTTCACAGTAAATGTCAGGAGCTCTTTTGCTGTCCTTTCTGGAAACTCTTCGTTCTAAGAAAGAAAAAAGAAAACACTGAAGGTTTGTCGAGACGAGAGGTTTATCAGTTCTGCCTGCTTAGCACTTTCACCGCAGACTAGCATTGACAATGTTTCTATTAGCAACAACTTAAATGTACACCGTGCTGCGCCACCATAAACAGAATGCGTTGAATATGCTTTATATCACAACGCATGCTATTGTGAATTTGAATGAATTGTTTTATTTTGTTTTTTTTGTTTTTTAAGTCTTTGATTTATAAGGAAGTATAATACACTTATGTATATTACTCCTGCATGTAAACACGGACAGTATTTCAAACCCAGTTTGTTTCATTGCGCACTTCAGGAACATTTGAAGCCCAACATTTCTTCTAAAAGCACATTTCGTATCTTTTAGCGCCATCTTGTGGCGATTTCTGAAAGTATCTTCATCAGGGTGGGGTTGTTGTTTTTCTTTCTCCTCAGAAATGTGGCTGAAAACGAATTGTAGCACCGCTAAAAGTTGTTTATAGATTGTTTTACAGTTTATATATAAAATAATCAAACTGTTCTGATAATCTACAAGTTTGAATTATCTAAGATGTAGGAAGAATAAGAATTATGCGTTTCAGGCCCGTAGCCAGCCTGGTGAAAGGGGTGATTCCTTTTCTTAAAATGTGGACTTATTTGCAGTTATTCATCTCATATTCTATTTATTAAAATGTTTAAATACTCAAATAAGTATTATTTTTATTTATATTCTTATTTTTTGATCTACCAAACATATTTCCTTTTTAGATAGGATTTTTATACACAGCCTAATTAGTATTAAATTTACTTTAATATGGACTGCATATGGTGCTTTGGACATTTTCATTCAATTTCAAGAATAATGTCCAAGATTTAGAATAAAAGTTAGGCTACTTGTAAAAAAAAAAAATTCCGACTACAGGCCTGCATTTGAATTATCTGAGATATAAAAACTATAAAATTAAAAAGCACTACAGCAAGATCTAATTAGATAGATGCAACTATTGAGATCTATACAATGGGAAAACAAATCACTTCTGTAGTTAATTTGAATAAGGGTATATTCCTGGGAAAATGAAGGAAATGGGTTGAATATATTTCACTTAGAAGACCTGATTGTGTTGCTATAAACAAACAGAAGATGCTTAACTGATAGATACATATGCTAATGTGTGTATACGTATATGGTTATATATTTATTCATATTGTATTGTGTGTTATCCCCATGTGTATAATGAGGATGGTCATTTGAGATTATTCTGGAAGGAATTATATTATGACATGCGTTCTCACCCTGGATTTAAATAGTCCTTTAATTTTTATAGTTTTTTTATGCTATTTTTTCTATTTATAATTTAACAAAATGTAAGTACTATGTATAGTTAGTACACCTGACAATAATGAATGCAGGGCTCAACAATAAGGACTGCCCAATGGCCCGATTGGTCCAGCGCTGCCTTTTCATTTAAGTTTCATTTGCCTGCAACTTTTTGAAAATTGCGTGCAAATACAGTCTTAGAATTGAGAAACAGTTTGTGTTTTTGAACCTTTAAATGCCACCTTCTCTGTGTAGTCATAAACACTATAATGTTTTTCCATTCCTCTTATCTGATTGGATGATGTGAGCATGTTATTATTTTCTGTAGCAACATGACGGCAACATCAAATTAACCATTAAATGAGTCTAAAGGAAACAGACATTTATGTGGGTACAACACGATGAAAAAAATGAAGTGATGTTTTGCAGTTTGCCATCAGTTTGGGAAGTCAGCCATCTTATGTTTTGCAATATAATACCTGCACATTTTTCATATTGTTATTTTTGTTTACATAACACTTTGAATTTTGCTCATTATACATTTATAAAAAAATATATATATATTTAAGTTAGATTCACAGACATTATTTTGACACATTATTTAAAACATGGCTAATAAATAGCTATTAACTTTTTTTTTTTTGGTGGGGCAGGTGAAAATTTTGTCAGGGCAAGTAAAAATCTAAACCGCTGGCCCAATCAGGCCAGAAAAGACCTTAGCATTAAACCCTGGTACGCAAATTGTATGTCACTTAAGGTCACATACTGTGATTCAAATGGAGTGTTCACATAAAAACAACAAGAACTAACTACTATAAGAACTAAGAACAATTATTAATATAAATATGTCCATGCATTTGTGCCATTACAACCAAAGACTACAACTAGATATTGTATAATATACTGTATATATCAAATCAATTTAGGTTTTATAGTTATATTATTGCCTTAAAATGAGTAGAAAGAGTGATAATGACAGCATGTTTGTTAATAGAAACATAGAACACAGAAACTAAATAGACTGCGAAGACATAAAGAATTAATAAAAAGTCAATGTCCTGAGATTTGATGTGCATAACTAATATAGAGACTACATGCGCATGCTAACATTACATAAAACACTTGTGTATATGACATTGACTTTGATATGATCTAAAACTGACACGAGACGAGCAGGAAGGTGTGTGCTTGGTTGTGTCGTCAACACATAAGAGGAAGGAAGGCCAGACTAATTTGATTGCCCCTGTTTGAGAGGGGAAAAATCCAGTTTCCTCATTACCCGATATCTCATTATCCTCTCTCTGTGCTGGTTTGCTTTGCTGTTCTCGGCTGTTCGAGAAGCGTGCAAAATATCTTTCTTTGGCCTGTTGTTTTACACGACAGCCTTGGCAACAAAAAACAAGTGACTATAAGATTGATAGTTTGAGCGTATACAATTAAGTAAATCCTCAGGTTTGTGATTAGAAAGCATTTAGCATTAGAGTGTTTGCTTGCTCTTCTATATCCTTGTCTACTTGCTGTGAATGACCCTGAAGGGAATGATAGAGTTGGCAGGATCACAGATGCATCTGATGAATCATTGATAAGGCGCCCTAAACTCATAGTGGTCTGTCAATAATAGCCGATAATGATCTGCTATGATCGCCGGGCTGTGCTCTTGTAATGGATGGAATACACATGAGAATTTGTTGAAAGTTTGCAACGCCCTTTTTCTTGCGTTTGCACACTGTGAAGAAGTGCGAAAGAATAAAAGGCTGCTCTGGATGTCTGTGAGAGTGGCATGGCGTTTCCCTTGAGAAGATCTGTATCAGGTACACTTTTAGATATCTGTTGATATCCCAGCAAGAGGGAGGCTCTAGATAGGAATGATAATGGCTGATAATGGCATGTTTGAGTGGTTGAATGGATGCTTTTGTTTGTAATTAGCTGAGAGGTACAAGTCTTTAGTTGCTGTCCGTGGTGCTGAAATTAACCTGTGAAACTAAGCTTAAGTGGGTCACTGGAGTTTTCTAGTTGTTTCTTCAAAGGAAGGTTGCCGATTTAAAAACTAAACAATTAAAAAAGTCATATAAATATATATAACGTATTTGGCACCACCAAATGATTCTGGTGTCATTAAAAACCCGTTAAATTAACTAGAATTGGATGAAGCGTTTGATGAAAATGGCATTTTGACTTCATTAACAGATACTAAATAGATATTCAACAATATTTAAAGCAAACTTTTAAAGTAGCATTAAAAAATGAAAGCATATAAATAAAGTTCAGAATGTTGTTATTAATTAATGAAGAAATTCTCAAATTTGCAAACAAGTTTGTGTAGATATTTAAAAAGTTGATCTTAGAAATAGTGCTACATTTAGTTTATCATTTATTTATACTACTGTATATGATGTTACTGACTCAAGTTGCTTTCTACTTTGCTGTTATTTGGCAGTTTTAAGTCGTTTTTTGGCCTTTTTTGCTTATCATATCCACATATTTTATGAATATCACTAATGAGTTGATAAATGAGCAGATTTGCAGCTAAAAGACAACAAATATGAAAAATCATCAGGTTTTAAAGTAAAGTTTTGGCATCAGCATATTTTTTAAACCTTGAATTTAACAAAAACTATTTTAATTTGTAGAATTATGTAAAAATGTGTGTTTTTTTATTTTAAGGCTTTGCTTTTTATGCTGTATGCTCTGCAATGTGGCGACATAGTGGCGCAGTTGGCAAGAAGGTCGCTGGTTCAAGCCTCGGCTCAGTTGGCGTTTTTTGTGTGGAGTTTGCATGTACTCCCTGTGTTCGTGTGGGTTTCCTCCGGGTGCTCCGGTTTTCCCCCACAGTCCAAAGACATGCGGTACAGGTGAATTGTGTAGGCTAAATTGTCCGTAGTGTATGAGTGTGTGTGTGAATGAGTGTGTGTGGATGTTTCCCAGAGATGGGTTGCAGCTGGAAGGGCATCCGCTGCGTAAAAACGTGCTTGATAAGTTGCCTGTCATTCCGCTGTGACGACCCCAGATTAATAAAGGGACTAAGCCGACAAGAAAATGAATAAATGAATGAATGCTCCACAACGTATTTGTCACCACCCAATCTTATCTGCAGTAAAATGTTTTTTTGTGTACTTAAAATACCACTAAATAACTACAATTGGATTAAGCATTTTATGAAAATATTATTTTGACTTAATTAACCTGCCTGTAGGTTACACCAACAAAGATTGTTTGAGAAATCTAACAATTACTGGATTTTCCAACTATACATTTTTACCACATATTAACAAATTAATTTTAAGACAGAGTAGAATTGTGTGTTTTATATAATGTGTATATAGATATATTTTATTATTATTATTATTATTATTATTATTATTTATATTATTATTATTATATTGATACTCCTTTATTGTTGAAATAAATTTATTATATTTAAAAAATTCTGCTGTGTTCTTTAAGGGTTCCTGCAGATTTTATCAAGTTAAATTTAAGACATTTTTAAGACTATTATGAATGAAATTTTAGACTTATACAGGGCTAAACACTAAGGATTTTTTTAAAAATATCCCAGTTATAACAGATCTTCACTTGCCCTGTCAAAAATGATTTAGATTTAATACATTTAATAATACAATAATAATACATTCATTCATTTTCTTGTCAGCTTAGTCCCTTTATTAATCCGGGGTTGTCACAGCGGAATCAACCGCCAACTTATCCAGCAAGTT